ATTTACAGCAAAGTACTCTGTATATGTATGTGTATGTGTGTGTATGCGTGCGTGCATATATAAATATAGGAAAAAAGAAAAAAGAATTCAATTGTTTCTTATATAAATAATTTCACAATATCGATAATGTAGTATTCTTTATCCTTACACTATTTAGTTACGATTGGTAAAGAGAAGAGGAGGGGTATTTAAAAGCAGGTTGAGTGCTGGACCACAACTAGTTCGATTTATACAACGGACGGGACGATTGCTCTTGAGAAACAAGGTAAAAATCAGTGTGTTTTAAAAGCTAAAATAGTTTTTAATACTAGGAATTATTTATATAACGTTAAATTTTCCTTAAAGAAAAACGAATACTTAAGCGATATATAAAATGGCCTCTTAAAACGAGGATATATAAAATAAATGAAAAATTTGTATATTATATTTTTAAAACATATGTATATTAATAATTAATGGTAATTGTTTCATAATTTTAATTTTTTGACAACAGTGATTAAAGTTATTATATTTAGCTTTGTTTTTATACGTTTTAACGTTTTATTCTAAATTGCTCACATCATCTTTAACATGAAAATATAGCCATCGTTAAAAAATATCAACATTTAAAACTTTTATATATATATATATATATATATATATATATATATAAATAATTAAAGACCATTTATTAATACGTTCGTATAGATCCATAAATTGCAAATATAATAAATATATAAACGGGAAACCAAAATTGTAATATTTCATCGTTAAAAATTAATTATTTATTATCTATAATATTAATTCTGTAGTTTAATTTTTGTTTCGAGGTAATTTTTATGAATGTAATACTGGCACAAAAATATATTAATAATAATAATAATAATAATAATAATAATAATAATAATAATAATAGTAATAATAAAAGAACATTATACGGCAGTAGAAAGTACTATAATTTACAATAAAATTTTGGTTGTGTTTTAATTACAATTTCTCTTACTATATTAAAATCATTATATAAGGCATTATAGTATAAAACAAATGACGGTGCATTTTCGTTTCTTCCGTATACCACTTTCTCTCAAATACCGTATTTTACTTTCACCTTCAAAGATCTTGCTTCGCGAATATACATATGCACAAATAGTATAACTTCGATAATTAAAATAGATCATATTTTAGTAAATATATTACAATAAATTATAGTTTCTTTTATACCATTTTTATTTATTTATATCTACAGAAAATTATAGCCTGTCTCAACTATATTAATATTTCGCGGTCCATTGATGAAAAAATGTCGTAATTGAAAAACGCGTGAACTGTTTATGAGAAAGTAAAATACATATGCAAAAAGTAAAACTTGTAATTTTTAGAAAATTTACGATAAAAAAAATTTGGATATTATATATTTAATTTTAATATTAGAACTATCAAACCTGTAAAAATGACGGATTTTAGATTTTCTTTTTTACTATTAATAAAATTATAATTATTAAAAAAATTCTAATTAAAAGCTGCATTTATTTATTTATTGTTGTCAAATTAAATAAATAACAAATAATATCGAATAAAATATTTCTTTTAAATTATACACTTGTCAAATTGATAGAAGTGATAAAAATAGATCTATAGTTTTGGTATTAACAATTATTTATATCGATATGTGTATTGTTAAAAAACATTGAATAATGTATTCTTAATACATATTGTGTTTTCGGAATATTTTTGAAGATTATGATGGTTTCTTGAAAGATTATAGACCGCAAAGTATTAAGGAGTTTATAATTTATAGATCTGATAAATTTGTAATTGAAGTGGCTTATATTTCATTGTTTTTCAGAATGATTGTCACAATTAGTTTATTTTTGATATCAATAATGTTACTATTATACTTGGAGTCACGCAAACCTAAAGGATATCCACCAGGTACATCATTTTGAGAAAGTTTGTAATATATAGGGTGTCTCGTCTTAATTCGACCAGCTTCAATACCTTTCTTTTAATGATGCAAAAAATGTTATAGAAAGTAATTATTTGATTCAAAAGAGACAACACTTTGATTAATACAAGAATGCGTTATTTTACCACATGCAATTTTAATATGTTCTTTTACGTTTTCCGATGTTGTTGTAATGCTAATATCATTGATGATTATTTTACGAATTTCCCATAAAAAAACATATCAGTATCTTTAGCTCAAATGCTCGAATTAAGTATGAGACACTTTGTAAAAAATGTTTATATTATTATATAAATAATTTATAGGTCCTAAATGGTGGCCTATTCTTGGCAGTGCGATGGAAATAGCACGGATACGAAAGGATACAGGATATTTATTCAAAACTTGTTCCGTGCTTTGTGAAAAATATGGACCAGTGACTGGTTTAAAAATCGGTAGTGATCGCATAGTGATACTAAACGATTATAATAGCGTATGCTCTATGCTTTCAAATCCTGATTGTGAAGGTAGACCAACTGGTCCTATGTATAAAGCAAGAACTTGGGGTAAAAGAAGAGGTGAAAATTATTTATTTATACATAGAGTAAAATATAAATAAATTAATAAGATATAATAGTTATATATATTTCTTTTTACTTAACGTTTCTTTCATCAGGTCTTATCGTTGTTGATGGTCAATTGTGGATAGAACAACGTCGATTTGTTCTTCGTCATTTAAGAGACTTTGGTTACGGTCGAAATAGTATGGCTGCAATCATAGAAGAGGAAGCCTCGAAACTAGTCGAATATTTTGAGAAATTACTTCGTAAAGAGTGTCATAATGTAAATGACAATATAAATGGAACGTCAAGAGTTAGTAACAATTATAATATTGGTATTAATAATAATGATGAAATATATCAATTGAAAAATAAAATGATTGAAAATGAAAGGAAAAAATTTAAATATAACGTAAACGACAAATATAGTATAGATAAGAAAATAAATAATGAGAATAATATCCACGATAAATTAAATATAAAAATAAATGATAACAAATCGAATAATGCGTTTACTTCGAGACAAATGATCATATCGATGGATGATGCCTTTGGTGTAACTGTCCTAAACACGTTATGGAGAATGATAGCTGGTAAAAGGTCACTTTTTAATATTTTATGATATTACATATATGTGAGTCGGTGATTACGAAAGATAGATCTAAGTAAAAAATTTTTTCTCTCTCTCATTATGCAGGTTTAATATCGATGACGAAACATTGATACATTTTCAAAAGATTCTTACAAAACTTTTAAAAGAGATCGATATGATAGGTGCACCGTTTAGTCATTTTCCATTATTAAGATTCATTGCACCTAAACTTTCTGGTTACCAATCGTTCATAGAGACGCATCAACAACTCTGGTCATTCTTACATGTAAGTATGTTGTATAAAATCAAGTAATTTTGTTGAAGAAAATAAGTCAAAATAATGGAATAAACATGCGTAATTATATGCGTGTTATAAACATCTTTTATAAGTTCTTTTCTTTTTTCATCAAATAATTTTCTTTATTTCATAAAATATGGAAACAATGAATGTAAAAACAATCTTATTATTAATAATTAAAATGAAGAAATACTTATTATTATGAAGAAGTAATAGATAAGAAAGCTTGATATTATGTACATTTAAATTAACATTTTTTTAATTTTGCCTTTTTAGAATCGTATAATTTTTTGTCTTATCAAAAAATATTAATTTAATTATATTTTTTTTAGAATGAATTAAAAAACCACAAGAATACGCTTAATCCGAATGCACCACGAGATTTGATGGATGTTTATTTATCATTTCTAAAATCGGAAAAGTGTAATAAAACATTTTCAGGTATACTTTTACATTTCATTAATACTGCAATTAGCCACACATACATATGGAATTATTAATTTACTATATTTAAAATCATCGTATTATTTACAGAATCTCAGCTATTAGCTATTTGTGTAGATTTATTTATAGCTGGTTCTGAAACGACATCCAAAGCTTTAGGTTTTTGTTTTCTGTATTTAATACTGTTTCCTAATGTTCAAAAAAAAGCGCAAGATGAAATCGACCAAGTTATTGGTCACGGACGTTTTCCAACATTAGCCGATCGATCGAGGTATACAAATGCTAATAATTTTTATAATATTTAAATATATTTGATATTTAAATAAAAATGTATATATAATTTCATTGAAGTATGATCTATTTAAACGCCATTGTTTTGGAATCATTAAGAATGTTTATGGGGCGAACTTTGAATGTACCACACAGAGCCCTAAAGGATACATATATAATGGATCATCGAATTCCGAAAGTATGATATTTTAGTTAAAAATAAATTTATGAATTAAACAAATTGTTGTTTCATACAATAAAAAATAGACGCTTACATGATTTATAGGATACAATGATTATTGTCAATTTTAATGGATTACTTATGGACAAATCTTGGAGTGATCCAGAAGAATTTAGACCAGAAAGATTCATTGACAAAGATGGTAGAATTTCTGTACAAGATCAATATTTGCCGTTCAGTACAGGTATGTTTATATCTATAATACGATCGAAAAATATAATCGAAACATAAAATTTAAAAATATATTTATAATTGTAACAGGTCGACATCGATGTATGGGAGAGTCACTAGCAAGAAGTAATTTGTTCATTGTAATAACTGCTCTCTTACAAAGATTTACGTTTTCTATAGTACCTGGAGAAAAAAAACCATCCATATTAGATTTCCTAGATGGTGTAACTGCTGGTCCAAAACCATATAAAGTATTAGTTACTGCTAGGACATAATCCATATGCAAATGTTCTATGAACATATCAAAATATTAGACATATTGTTACATATGATTAAATTTATTAATAAAAATTGTTACATATGATAAAATTTATTAATGAAAATCTTGTACATGAGACATATCCCATAATTCCAATTTCCTACCAATTCATTAAAATTAAACGTATTAAACTATTAAGAAATAAATGTGAAATTGAAGATATTTTTACTATATGTATATTTTTATTATAAATTTAATTACATTTATTATTTTATTTTAATTACAATAGTAAAAAATAAAAACTCTTCATTCATGTAACTTATCTGTACTAATCTCTATAGGTAACAAATCTCCCCATTGGCTAACTCTTGCACAACGATATGCATTCCTATAAATGCATAATTTAAGTATTAATCATAGTCAATGTACTATTTTTATTGAAATAAACAAAAAACATTATTTACTAACTTTCCATATTTGTAAGAGGTGAATATGATTTCTTTTAATGTCCCATTAGCTGTGCATGTACGACATATTACATGCTTGGATCGTTTTAATGTTGGCTGTACAATACGTGGCCATTGGTTATCACTATCTGATCGTACACCTAAAAATATATATTTTCTTTATAACACTATAATTCTGTTATTTTATATTAATAAAAATGATATTTTATTGTAATTCAGTATACCTTTCTTTAATATGACATAAGAATAGCGTTGTTTTTTTAAAAAAGAAGGACCTGACAATGGTAAAGTATAATAAGAAATCTCAAAATTGCAAGGAATATCATCTGTGTAATATCTTGGGCATTTCATATCATGAGGACACTAAAGTAAAAGATTTATAAAATATTTACTATATTAGTTTCATTAGTTTTAAAGTTTAAAAAGTGTTAAGAAAGTTAACTATTACATTTAAATTTATTATTTAGATTAAAATAATGAGTAAAATTTGAATAAACATATATTTTTTAATAGTACTTACAGGTGCAAAAACATGAGCACAATTATTATTATTTGACTTATCTGACTTCAAAATATTATACAGTATAATATCACGTGCTTCATTCACTGCCTTTAAAAAAATGATTGATATTACATATAAGAATAAAAGAAATATTATTTCAAGGAATTTCAAAAATACATACTGTAAATCCTGCATTTGTTCCATCTTCAATAATAACAAGATAATCTTGAACTTTAGCCCAAAGTTTTTGTATAACATCAAAACGAGTCTTTGTATCAGGTAGTTCCAATAAAGAAAATGAACTAACAACAATATCATAAGTTGGCTATAACCATAAAAATGCAATTAAAGATTCATTTAATATTTAAAACATAGTATATATAAAATTGCAGAATTATACCACGGGAAGTGCAGGAAGAAATTGTCTGTAGAAAATGTTTTTAATTGGATGAGTATTATATTTATTTAATTCTTCTGATAAATCATTCATTTCAGAAGAAGAATCTACACCAAAGTATTCTTTTAAAGAATCAGACCAAAGTTGAGATGCTGACCTAAATTAACAATATCTTTTATAATTATTTAATATTTATATATCCTTAATACATATCACATTTAATACATACCACATAACTGTTCCAATTCCGGATCCAAAATCAAATAAAGTTTGAGGTTTAAAATTTACATTCTTACTTTTAATTTGATTTAAGACTTTATATACAGCACAATACTCATATTGACTTCTACCAACTATATATAACAAACCAGTTCGTCTGTTATAATCAATAGTAATAGCTGAATTATGCAATTGCTGTTTTTCTTTAGCTAATTTTGAATTATTGTTCATATTATATTCAATAATATCTTCATTCCTTTCATTCAAATTAGAAGAATATATAGTAGCTTGTGATCTTGTTTTTCTATCCTGTAAATTTGGTTGTATATCTGGTATAAATCTACCAAGTAAATGTTTCATCAATTTTTGTCCACCTTCCCATAAATATGATGTTGGAATTTTTGAATCTTTATATAGTAAAGAAAAAAATAAAATAACTACTTCACATTATATATTATATTATTATTATATCATATTTATTACAATTATTACAAACCTTTTAAAACTATCTGAATTGAATTTTTAATCCATTCAGGTACTTCTACAACTCGTGGTTTTATAATTCCAGGATGATGTCGATGCTTTAATAACTTATTTTCAAGTAAAGTATTTGTACTATCATTAAGTTTTACTTCTACTTTTACTGAAAACTAAAAATAAAATTATATATATCGTATATATTATGTTGTTTTTTTTATAAGCCGTAAGTATTTTTAAACTTACATTTCGTACTTGCATACGTCGAAGAAAATACAGGTTTAACATCATGTAATTTCTTTTTCAAAGATTATATTATCAATTAAAGAAAATTGTGTGCATTATAACCTATAAAAAATATAAACAGATTTTCTAATCGTTTCTTTATAAAAAAACTTTTTTAACAATTGTAGTCATTTAAAATATTATTTATTATCTATTAAATAATCTTTTCATAACATATTTTTTTATAATGAATTTAATTACAAAAAAATTTTCAAAATAATTTCATAAATTTAATAAAAACAATTCTTTTTTATTTGTGATTTATACCAATTTTTATTTATGTCATTTGATACCAAATTAATACAAAAAGTTATTCAAGCAATGATAGAAATACATATATAAAATCATAATTTATATTTTATTACATATCTAAGATCCAATTCTGTTACACATGTTTGTTGTTCTTCGATAATATTCTAATAATGATGTAATAATATTTGACATAATAGCAAAATGTAGCCAGTAGAAAGCGAGATTGATGATAATAATAGAAAACTATTTAGAAGAACACTTTCTTTTATGTTAAAAATCACCTCTAGTTTTATAATGATTTATGTTAACAATGAGTATAGAAGTAATTATTGAACGGTTTGATAAACAAGATTTCATTTTAAAGATGAAGGTTCAAGCGAGCACATGGTTTTTTCGAACTTTTGAAAAGTTTTCTTTTCTTTATAAAAAAATTGTGTCAGAAAATGGTGTTTTATGGAAAATAACTTATACATGAAAATAAAGCATTTTAAAAAATTCGAAAAAGCCATGTCCTCGTTTAAATTTTCATTTTTAAAATAAGACCTTGTTTGTTAAAATCGTTGTATATACCCCATGATAAGAGTATAATTTAACAAGCTTATATGCTAATTTAATAGACGCATAGTGGGGATAGTGTTCTCTTATTTTCTATTATATAGTTCATATTTTGTCCACACATTGCTGAAGTCACTACGAGCAATAGATGGTGAATAGCATTAACGGGTTTTAAGAAAATAATGAAGAGAGTATTAAATTATCGCAAACTTATATAGAGAGTTAATTATGTTTTATAAAAGATGAATACAACGAAAAAGAGTGTTAACGAAGAAAAACAAAATTCATCGATTCCTACATATCGTCTTAATGAAGCTCCAAAAAAATGCAATTTATCTTTTTCAATTAATTTTGATTTTGACTATACAAACAGTGATAATTCGTCTGATTCCGAGACAGCTGATTTACAAATAGATATTTCAGAAATCGATAATGATGATCCACCAACTAAACATAAAAGAGAATCAGTCAAAGAAACGTCGGTTCTTAACGAAATGGAAGAAGAAATTGAAAGACAACTTGATGCTAAAGCAGCAAAAACTAATCTAACTGCCACGAATGTAAAAAATATATTAAAACGTGTTATTACAAATAATGAACAAGTAATGGCTGTGGTACAGAAACGTTTACATGATACAGAAGAAGATATCATTTTTGAACCTAAACTCACAAGAGCTAAAGCAAAGTATGTAATTTATCTTAATACATTATATTATATTGTAATATATATAAATTTGTATGAAAAATTTTAATTGATTTTATAATAGAGAATTAGGTGCTGTAGAACAAGTTAATGTATTATGGAACACTAGGCCAGTTAAGAAACCACCGTTACAAGTATTAATAGATGAAGAATTCCCAGAAGATTCTTCTGACGAAGAATATAAGCCAGAGCAAGATAAACAAAGTGATGATGATAGAGAAATAGAAAATTCCGCCAGTGGTGATGTAGAGTCACAACTACCTATCCCAGTACATGAACTTGATTCAGCTGTACAAAAAAAACCTAAATCACCTAATATTCAATATGATCCAGAGGGGATTTTTAAAATTCCTTGGTAAGAAAATGATATTTCTGTAATTTCAATTATTTTTCATCATTAAAATCTACATTTTCTAGCTTACCTTGTGTACCAACAGAAGAAGAAAGTATTGGTCATAGAACACGTTCTAAACTTTGCTTAAGTGAAACACCGTTAGAACAAATTGAACAAGCATTTGTGCCCCCTGATATTACAACAGATATGTATGATTCTGATTGCGATGAAGATTGGGGTAATTTTTTGAAAGAATTTACACAACCTTTAGAACAAGAACATACTGCAGAAGATGATCCAGAAGCTGATCCTGAATATAATATTTTAGAAGATGAAGAAACAGATTTATGTTAGTATCTACAAATACAAAAATGTCAATAATATATTTAATTATAAATAAATAAAATATATGATAATACTAATGTTTATATATTTTCAGTGGATAAAGAAGAATTAAGAGCCGATAAAGATGTCGAAATTACTTTTAAAGAGTTAATTGATTTGTTTGAGTTTACAGATACATTTATCAAACAAGAAGAACAAGAAGTATCTAAGAAAAGGAAATTATCAGAAAATATAGATACACCTGTTGAAAAGAACACATTGGTAAAAATATAATGCTGCTATAAATTTGATACAATTCAAAACAATTTGACTTCTTGATTTAATTGCTAATTAATCACTCAATTGTTTTGTTTTATGATAGAATCATTCTGAACTTTCAATGTTAGTAAACTTTGAGCAACGCCATTTACTAGCTATTCAATTTCAACAACATGTTCAACTATTGGCACAACATTTTGCTATGACATACATGCACCCAGATTTACATATCCTCTCAAAAAAATGTAAAGAATGCTTAAATAACATAAGGTATACGAGAAGTTATATTACAAGACATCAAATTTTTAATAAGATCTTAATTAAATTTGTGGACAGATATTTTATTATCATATATTATTTATTTCTTTAGAAATTTAAATAATGGGCCAAATTCTGCATTCAATATAGAAAATGTATTTGATGCTTTAAAGTTAGTCTCTGATTGGGAAAATAAATTTTTGGATCCAAAATTTCATGAAGAATTTAAAAAACATATAGAGGATGAAAATACTATAAAAACAAAACATCTTAAAAATAGATGGGAATATATACCTCAATTTTCTCCTGATCTAATAAAATTATTTATTGAAAGTAAAGCTTTGATATATCCACAACTTCTACCAGATATACCATTCAAAAGTGAATTAACTAAATATACAAAGTTACCATTTTTAAAAACTGAAGAAACGTAAGTATCTTAATTCTAAAAGATTATGTTAGTACATTATATAGTTATAAATATTTTTATTTTTATATAAATATTTTTATTTTAGTTTAATTGCAATAGGCCTTGAACAATTCTTCCCATTTGTGGCATCTCGAAAAACAAAATTTAAAAGTAAAAAGTTCCAATTATTTGATGTGGCTCAATTAATTGCTAAACATTTACTACCTGTTAGAGAATCCAAAAAAATATTTTTCTATATTCGAAGACAACGTTCTGCCAAAGATTCAAATCCAATTAAGGTAGTTAATTGGTATATATTTTTTCATTTATAAAACAATATTTTTAATAGAATTTTATTATAGCGTTATTTTGACAAGGGTATAGCTCCCAGAATAGTACACTGTATAACATTAAAATGTGATCTTAAAGCACCGATACATCAGCCAATACATCTTTTACCTCCAAAATGGCAGAATTATCTTACTAATGTAAGTAAACGAAAACTGTTTGTATATTAATTAAAAAACGTATGAGTAATATACTAAATAGGTTTGATAATATTGTAGACTAAACCAAAAGTGGATCTTTTAAAATCTAAACGTATTCTGAATTCATATAATGATATATCTAAGATTGAAAATCTAATAAATAATAACTTCTATCTATATCCTTATGTTTCAAAACATCATCCACTACGAAATCCAGTTGTAAATGTTTTGCCTAAAATAATGCCAAATTCGAAACTTTTATTAAATAATATAATAGCAAGAAATGCATCACATGCTCAAGGAAAATCTGATATTCATACAGCTAGATCACAACAACCATGTGATATTAGCAATACTAAAAAAATGTTAAATAAAAGTACTGAAAATGCAGATAAAAGTGCAATAACAAATAAGGAAGATAAACAAAGTGAATCGATTAATTCATTAAATGTAGAAATAAAAAACACGAAACTAACAAAAAAGTCAAGTGAAGCATTATTGCAATCTCCACAAATACGAAAAACAACTCCACGTTTGGCAAAAACAAAGAGTGCACAAAATATGAAACTAATGGCTCAAGGTTTAGGATCAAAAAATGTATCTAATTGCAGTAATGCAAAGACTAGAGGAAAGGGAGATCTGGAAAAAAATTTGGAGTGTTCTACTGATTCATCAAAAGTTGTAAGTTACAATTTATTTAAATGTATTTACAGATCTGCAATAATAGAAAGTTACAAGAAAATATAAGTTGTATATGATCATTGATTGCAGGATAATGAGGATGAAATTGCAGAACTTATGTTAGCAAGCACTACTATTAAAAAAGATAATAGAAAGAAGGCTAAACAGGCTAGAGAATTAGAAAATATAAAGAGATTATTGGAAGCTGATAATCTTTTGAATGAAGGAGAAAGAGAAGAAAGTATGTTACTATACAATATTACTTGAATTAGATTTATAAATATTATAAATTCCATGCCCATGCAATTTATACACTTGAAAAGATTATAAATTTATTATTTTTGTTTTTATTTTCATACAGAATTCGCAGCATCATATCTTCAGAAATTACACTTGACATTGGAATCTAATAATCCAGATATTTTAAAAATTGTAATTAAATTAATATTAGATTACAATGACAAAATTGAGAATCTTAATCAATTGGAACATGAAATCTCTTTTTCTAAAAAATATGAATCCTCTGAGATGCAAGAAGTGATAGAAAAGAACATGATAACTAGAGATAAATTAGCTATAGATTTATATCAAAATATTTATGATAAATTACGAGATTTTCCAGAATTGTGTTCAGATTTGTTGTTATTTTTAAAACCACATCAAGCTGCATTAATAGGCAAATCTGTAGAATATATAATGTTACAAAAAATGAGTGAATTTTTAAACGTCATACAAGTCTATTTTACTAAGCAGCCATCTCGGCTTGCAAAAATAATGCAGGCCATTACACAACTTTCATCTGATCCTCATGTAACATTAGAGAATGTTCATAATATTATGATTCCACTTCTCAAGGCACATCCCTTAGTTCTGGATCTATTTTTACAAATATTACCTAATGGTAAACCTCCAGAAAGGTAATTATTTTGATGTTTATGGAATTCAGATTATAAACTTGTTTAGTAAAATATATTTTTTTGTGGTTTTTATATAGTTTATTTGCAGTAGATATGTTTGAAAATTTAACTTTCCCACTGGGTCCTCATGATAAAAATAAAGTATATACAGATGATGCACCAGAATTATATGAGAATATAGAATTACCAATGTCAGTTTCCCAAGAAGACCCTTATGGTGGAGATAATTGTAAATGTGATTGTCATAATGCAGATGACTCAAATAACAGAAATACTAATGAACATTGTATATCTTGTGGAACTAGGGTATACATTTATAATCGTTTAATTTTATTATATTACATATGTATTACTCTTTCTTTAATTTTATTACATTACATATGTATAAATCTTTATTTGACAGTTTCTTAATGGAAGAATATATCTTCAAACTTCTGAAGGCTTACGTCCTGCAAAAATAACATTCCCAGGAGCTGATAAAGAGAAATTAGAAAATATTGCAAGAGTGTCTTTAAAAGTTGCTGATAAATTTACACCACCTATTGCATCTAGACAACGTCGAAAATCTTCGAAAGCCGATATTGGCGACGATTCATGTCAAAAACAATGTCTTCCCAAAAATTCACCTGTGAAAGAAAATGAAGATAACGAAAGAACTATATCAAGATCTAAAAGAGGTACGAAATCACCACCCAAATCCGGAGAACCAAAAAAATCATTGAAAAAAGTAACATTTACTGATGAAATAATATCTACTAAAAAGGCATACTCTCCACAATCTATAAATAAACGTGAAAAGAAGATAGAACGAAAGACGCGGTTGGAACAAAATTCTTATGATAATTCATGTTCAGAAAGTGACTATACCTCCAAATGTGTTACAATTGAAAATATATTTGAAAAAGAAATATCTTCAAAGGATAAAATGTTCATGAACAAGAACATGGAACATGATATGAGTAAGCACAATTGATTTTATTTTTAAATCATATATACGTATAAGATCGTATAATTAAAAATATATTTTTAACAGAAGATAATATTATGTCGCCTAGTCCAGAAAAAGATAGAGATATAATAAGTAGTAGCAGAAGTTTCGAAAAAATGGATGTTTCAAATGATTGTGATTCTGATACAAATTCTGAAATGGAATTTATTAATGACAAACCTTGGACACGGCAAGAAGATATGATCCTTCTTTTAGCCATTAAGGAAGAGTATTCGGAAAATACATTTTTGAAGGTTAGCCAACAATTGGAAGATCGTACCATTGAACAGGTATAGATATATAGATACTTATAATTTTTTTCTTTAATTTACATAGATACTGATATTATTTCATTTTAGGTTAAGGAAAGATGCAAAACATTACTTTCTTTGTTAGAGCAAATGTTATAATTATTAGTCAAAGAGATCTGTGAATTTTATTTTGTGTACATAAGACATTTAACGTGATTGGAGAAAGGTTAGAAAAGTACTTGTATTACGATTTTTATATTTAGAAAATGAATTTAATTAATAAATATAAATAATAATAAATTATTTAATTCGATTTTGATCTATAATTTTATTTTTCTTTTATACATATCTGCTCGTAACAAATTTATACACATATTTCTTTTTTAATGATGATTTAAAAATTTAATTATATTTTCATCATTTTAAAGACAAATATGTGATATAAGTATAAATATAAAATTGTTATTAAGATGTAGGACAAAATTACAACATACAAAATATTGTTTACAGTGCTATGAAATGTATCATACAAGACGTTTACTACTATGAATCAAGAACTTAAGATTAGATATAAAGAAAAACATTTTTAAAAGCATCAGTTTACAGTCATAACGTAATTTACAATAAAACATTCCTATAATTAATGTAATAAAGTTCCTTAAAATTTGTATAGTCTAAGGTTTTTTTTTTCAAAAGCAAGAAATATAGAATGAAAATGTTAAAGATAATCATTTTTTGACTAAAAACTTAATAAATTTAATAAAAGAATATTATACTTTTTACTTTTAATAACATTATGTTTAAAACATAATTTCATAAAGTATATTTAATATAAAGGTTTATCCACAGATTATACTTATATTAATGTGTAAAAATTTATAATCATGGTATTGCTAAATCTTAAATATACAAATTGATAATAATAGAATCATAGTTTTATAACAATTCGACTATATCAAGCCATGATCAAAAGTTTTTGCACAATATTTAGTCCTTTTAGTTCATAGTACAAATTATAATCAATTTTATTTGTTTCTAAAAACATTATTAACATGGACACTATTTATCGTCACAAATTGTTTTATGTAATAACGTGATGTGTACCTTGCAATATTTTTATCCTCAATTTATCTCGTACTTTGGCTATATATTTCAGATCTTCTCTCATTGTATTCATAAATGGCATATTAGATTGCAATATAAAAATGTAGAGAACAAGATGTAATTCTAGTAAAAAAAAAATGTAAAATAATTATTACACAGCAAATAAAAGTTTCACTATTTCAGTATAAATCAGTCTAATATTGTCATCTGTGAATATGATGAGCATGTACAAACCATGCAAATTTATTGCATATACACATTGTAGTCTAAATTATCATTATTCTGGATTGTACTTTTGATGCCAATTTGTGGAGTAAAATTAAGATATTCAAAACTCTTCCATGTTGTCTACATCTATACCAATGTCGAGAAAATCGTCATAATCTTGAACTTGTCTTGATTGAAGAGAGTGCTCAGAATGATGTTCAGTGTGATCTGGATCATCTGTAACGGGACTAGGTGGAGGATTAGTTACTGTACGATCAGAATCTAAAGGAATTCTATCCATTCCTACACCACGTCTTAACCTTGCTTCTTCTGCAATCTGTCTGGTTGAAAACTCTGCTTTCGTTAATAAAGCTGGAAGATCTTTATCAGATCCATCTAAAGAAATACAAAATATTATACAGTTTAATATAATGCTTATTAAGTGGATTTTTTCCTATATTTGGTTGTCATCATCATATTATTTTAATTTAAAACTCACTTTCAAGGCTTCTCATGAGTTCCTGTGTTTTTTTTCTTTTCTCATCAGCTTGTATTTTTTTCTGTTGTTCCACATTTTTTTTCTTATCGACATAAAATATTTCTCTGATTTTTTCTTGTGGAATATGTTCGTCATTTTTTATAAGCCATAAATATACACCACCTGTTGTTCTTCTACGAGATCCATTCATTGTTAACAAACCACCATTTTCTTCGATTTTTTTGGTTTTTTGAAAAAAGTCAATTGCTTTTTCTTTTCCAAGTATTTTTACTATCTTTCCTACAAGAAACAAGTAATCAAATATTTATAATATATATTTTTTATAAGAAGATAAATGATTAAAGAATATAAAATATATTTTTAAAATTACTTATAAGGAGATTCTTATTTTCGCAAAGTTTATCTGCAATATCAATTGCAACATCTGAATCTGTTGAATTTATTGTTGTACTTAAATCTGCTATAATACGTATAGATCCCTTTTGACCATCAACTTCCATAGAATTTCTTCTTTTCCCTAATTTAAGTTTTATATTTTGTCTATCAGAATTTGTCCTTTTATTGGTTAGTCTTTGTCCATATTTTTCATCATCTGGACTAATATTGTTATGAGATCCATTGGCATTTGATGGATATCGAAGAGTAAAATTATAACTTTCAACGCTACGTTCTTGATAGAGTTTCTTTGTAACACCACATGAAACTAAGTCTTCTGTTAACGATTCTTCTTGCACCTGTGTACACCATACTTTGTATTTATCGTTATTTTTTTCCCAATTATTAGATAAGCTTTTAGATCTTTTTATTTTCAACTTAGGTTTTTTGTTTCTAGTATGTGCTGAATCGGAATCTGAATCACTTTCTGTGTCCACAGAATCATCTGATTCATCACTATATCCCAGTTTTGTCTGTCCTTCTGTTGCTTGCACCACGTGAGGCCTCTGCAGTACATTGTATTCTTCAAAAATATCGGTTGGCTATAGAAAGACATAATCTTTAATTGATAGTATATTTATTTTAATAATACAATTTTATTATTATATTTACATTGAGATATGTACTTTAAAAGATATTACATTTATAAATCTAAAATACTTGTAAAATGTTAAATATGATAATTTTAAATATCTTACAAATTTGTTAGAAATAACAATCTTATTGAAAATATCGTATTATTAATAAATTAATATAATAAATAATGATTTATTAAATACAGAACAGAAAGAACAATTTTATGAGAACGAGTATTTGTATTCATACATTTTAATTTAGACTCCTGTCAAAAACAAAATACTTAATATCTGACCTCATCATCGACAATCTCGCCATCTTCAAGCTCTAAAGGTTCTGCTTCCATATCCGAACTTGGAAAATGATATCTTTTCTAACGAAACAAATATTTTGAATAAGAATTATTTGTTTCAGTTGCACAATAACATAATACCTTAACCACTTTTCTAACTTTATGGCAATATCGCAGCAGATTCTTTTGTTCGTTTTCATGACAGAAATAATATTTGCTCTTCTATCCTTATGGCGATTGGTGAAACATTCAAACTTTCAACGAATGGATTTGGAGGTTTAACAAGAAAGATTGTTTCGAACGTATATTCAAGAGAACACTCATGTATTGAAGGTATAATGAACTATATATACGAAATAAGTAGAGAGAGAGAGAGAGAAAGAGAAAGACTATAGTATTTAAATTTTTGTAAAAAATATGAAAATTCGAAAAAACAAAAGGTTATATATAAAATAATATTCTATACTTTTTATTTGTTTTTTTTTTATGATTTGTACAATTGTCATTAAAATTTATGTACATCAAAATTAGTATGTTATATTTTTTATCTGAGAAATCCAACTATAGGTTTCGTTGGTCCAAGTTCTGTTTCCTTCTTTAATGCATTCATAAGAGCATCATTTAATGCAAGTGCAATAGTTTTACCCATCTGTAAATGATCATAAAATTTCCATGAAATATTTGACATTTCTTATATATTATTTATTTTGACTACAATACATATATAGACACAAAAATAATATTATGCTCATTTTAATATTAATAAACCATTTTTCAAATACCTCTAGCATTTTAAGTAATGTAACATCCTGCATACTACCATATCCTATTTTGACAATTGATGTTATATTACCATTTGGCATTATAGATATAATTGTACTTGCTGGACTACACATTTCTTCTTCTGAAGTAGGATCTATTACACAATTTTCTCCTATCTAAAAAAAAATAGAATATGTATATCTTTTATCTATAAATAGATAACGATTAATTTAAATCATATTCATTTTTGCAATATCTTCATATACTTACTTTACACAATGTGACAATAACTGGATAATTTGTAATATCTAATTTGATACAATCAAAAGGATCATCTGATATTTGTATGTCTGCTTCTCCACCATCAAGAGATGCAGCAGTTACTCTTGGTATTTCTGTACTATATAAAGCAGCTTTTACAGCTATACCTACAGCATCAAAAAGATTCCCTCCACATTGTAATATCTATGAACATATTCAAATTTTCTTCATATGGATCACAAATGTAATTATATTTTTTTAATATATATGCAAATAGCTCTTACCAAAATATCAACAAACATTTTCCAACATTTTTTATATGGTAAAATACATAAATCTTTTAAGTTAAATGCACCTGGAGTCTGATAAGATAATGACAAAATATTACTTATTTCCATTGCTAGATCATCTCCACCTTTACCTTCAAATTCTGGGGTAGCATTGGCTGAACTACAAAATAATATATTATATATATATATTAATAAAATTATATGAAGAGTATAAGTTTAGATTAGTGGTTCAACAAAATACCAATCTACAAAAAATTCTAATTTTCCTTCACATGGTCGATCAATATATGGTGAATCAATTTCTACTTTAACACCAACTAAAATGTCAGTATTTCCTATTCGTAATCTTGATGAACCATGCGTTTGTTGCATCAAATTGGTTTCAATTTCGAATGATCGATATTCATATCTTTTTCTTCCATCATTTCTAAAATCTGCCTAAACGTTTCAAAGGAAGAATATTGATTTTGATTCAAAAACTTAAATTTATTCTACAATGTATACACACATGTATTTTATACTTACATCAACTCCATGAAGAATAAATGTTTTTTCTCCTAAGCTCAATGGAACTTCGGCCATTTTTATAAATTACACAAAAATAATATTTATCTGAAACTCAATATATACCTATATTGGATATTAATTATAAAAATTTAATTTATTTATATTTTGCATTTCCAATCAAAGTTAAGGATTCACTCTTCCACATACGAGTGAACCAGTGATGCTAATGTTTTTAGGATGTGTAATATAAGTAAATTTCTTCGAAGATTTACTTGTGAATGGTTTTTTATTTTTGATTGATTTATTACATCAGGATAAGATCTTCTTGTTCAAACACATTTATAATTATTTAAAATTTTTAATATTTTAATGTTTAGTTTGAAATATTTTTGTCGCGTGGAAATAATAAAGAATCGTTATATTCGAGTTCTAATAAAGAATGAGTAACAAAATATTAGGTTATGGATAATCTCTGGATTACAAGTTGAAACTGTGCATGATTTTCTTATAATATTTAAAATATTTGCTTGTAAGAAAGAGCATCGAAGAGTTTGCTTTATATTTTTAAATAACTATTAATTAAATATTTAATCGAATCCAATTGTTATGTACGCGTGAGATGGAAATAACCAAACAAGCTTATACGATAGACATATGGTGGATAGACAACATTCTCCGTTTGTATTCGTAGTTCATATTTTGTTCATAGTTATCGCTAAAATCACATACACTTCGAATAAAAGATAATGAACAGCTGTAACGAAATTTTTTGAAATACAAATAACGCGCCGTTTATAGCGCTAGTATCGTTGTTGGCGCTAAGTAGGATTTCGTGTCTATTTTAAATTGTCAATATTTGTTTCAGAATAATTTATGAAGATTTCATTTGTTTAAAAATTTTGTACATGAATTTACGGTGTAGAAGAATTGCAAAATGATTTTATTAAGAAATATTTTCAAGGTATCTGAATAGTTTTTGTCTCTTCATGATATAATTTAAAAGTATCATATGTATGCAATATTTAAAAAATTTAATCGTTTTAATTATGCTTTAAATTTGTACCGAAATCAGTGTATATTGATTAATATTATATATTAACGAAATAATTTAGAATAGATGGATGAAATCTTCACATATTTTTGCCTTACAACATCGATATTTGGGTATATCTACATACCTTGCTTCTACTTCTGTAAAGGATACAAAAAGTTTTCAAAAATTTAAATTAAAACAGGCCAGAATGCAGGTATATATTTTAATTCATGATCTTTGCTAATCGATAATGCTATTTTAAAAATTTATATAAGTATTTTACTTTAACAGCGCGATGATGAAATTCCTACATATTTAAAAGCTGGTTTCCGGGATAAGGTTTTATTTAATATAACATTGGTTTTAATTCTACTCGAAATTATTGGGGTTATTTACACGTTACGTGATTTGATTAAACGTGATTAAATTAATCTTTTATAATAATTAAAATTTAAGTTATATGTTTAAGTGTTATCTAGCTAATAAGATCAAAATACACGCATTACATTATTAAACTTTTTACTGTTGTAAAACATTAATACACAATATATTACATAGACATACTTTTTTTCTCATATATACTATCTTGTAATAAATTTTGGAAGAAATTCGTAAGGCACTTGGTTGTTCTGCGAATACCAATATGGAGACTATTTTATTCTAATATTAATCAGTAAGAGTAAAACATTAGAATATATAATTATATTATTTTTTTTATACATTATATTAAGTGACATAAATAATATAGACCAGATAAAGAATTTCACGAAATTTTATAAATATAATGTTTAAATGCAAATAAGTAAAAAACGGTAGGATTTCAATTGTATTATTTAAATTTAAGCTTTATAACAGAGCTTGATAGAACACTTGGATAAAATGTTTATACCATAAATAACCTGACATAATGGTTTTATTGTATAGCTCATTCTTGTAACAAAAAGTATGAAAATTAGAATAAATTCTAATATATTTGTAACTACTCTTTTGAACAGAAATTATTATTGATGTAGTTACAGTAGAATTTAGCCTTTATTAATACATTAAGATATGTTGTAATTTATCAGTAATGGATTTAGGAATGAGAGGCGCATGATCGTCCATATTAGTAAAGCAGATGTATCAACTAAAAAATACAAGTTCTTTTATATCACAGGAAAAATATTTACATCATTCTTAAGGTATTCCTTTTCAAAGAAGATGATTCATTAGACAAGGTTCAATTTCTTCAACTACTGTTTTCATTATCTGTTTTACTTGTATCATCCTTAGATATTTGATCTCTACTAATATCAATAGCTATATTGATAGACTTTGGAGAATTTACAGATTGCCTGTTGGTATTAACAACATGGTCGTTTTTATTAGAAACTTTATTTAAGTTTAAGTTCATTCTAGAGTTGCTTATCGTTGATATATCTATTGTAGCATCTTTTTGCTGTTTTTCATCTTTTTCAGTGATTTGATTAAGAATTACTTTTTTCACAGCATTTGTGTCTGTTTGTGGAAATGTTCGAGGCATATTATTTTGGATATGAATTTGTTTTTTATTTTCTAAGTTCAAAGTAGATTTCCCTTTACTTCTTTTTCTACGTTGAATCAAATCTTTTAAAGCTTCACTAAAGTCCATTAATGTTTCCGATATTGGTTTATTCATATATTTATTTGCTATTTCATCAAATTTATCATCTTCTTCAGAAGTTAATTCACTTTTAAGATGTTTGAATTGATCTATTATTTCTTTTAAACTTTCTTTAGCATCTTTAACAGTTTTCAAGTTGTGATTATTTGCATGATAATTATTTAATGATTCTGCATCTTCGTTTTCTATTGTTCCATCTGTTTCACTAGAATATTCATTACTATTCAAATTAGTATTATGTTGCTGTGAATCATTATCTTCATATGCAAAATCTTTTTCAAATTCTTTAAATTGATCTATAATATTTCTAATACTCTCTTTTACATTAATTGTAACTTCTTTATCTTTCCTTTGACTTATGATTTGTTGTTTTTCCTTTATATCTTGTTTTGTTGAAATTTTTGGTAATATGGTTGATTCCATTTTTATTTTCATTGGTTTTTTAATCTTTACGTTAAGTTTACTTGTAATATCTACATTTTCTTTTTCCTTAGTTATATCTTTTTTGATATTATTCATTTGAATTTTTTCTTGAATTCTCTTTTTTACAGTTTCTTTTATGTTACTGATATTTTCAACAGCACCAACAGCATCATTTTTAGATTTTAATTTAGTTCCTATCGATCCTTTTTCATAATGTACATCCTTCTCTATTATTTTTTGATAATTAATACCAGAGTTATCTTTTATATTAATTTTTACTGCGGGTATGACTCGTAATTCATTTTCTTGATTTATTATATCCATATCTTTTGAAACATTATCTAATGAATCTGCAGATGTTTTAACAAATTGTTTATTTTCATCTGATAATATATTTGATATATCATCAGATTGGATATCTTTTTGTTTAATAGATTCGATTTCAGCTTTTATCAAAGGTTTTTCAATCGAAGATAATGGTTTTCCAATTTCTTCTAAAGATTCAACAATATCATCAAGTATTGGCTCCATACTTTCTAAGACATCATTAGTTACATTTAGACTTGTATCTGATATTGTACTATCATTCTGAAATAAATTACGCGTGGAATGCTTGGAAACTTTAGCTCTATTCGGATCATATTTGATATTAGCTTTTCGTTTCATAATGAATATAGTTGGTTTTGTTTTTATTTTAATTGGTGGTAACATATTATAATTTAATGTTATATGTGAAAAGCCATCAATCGAATCCAAGATTTCATGAGTTTTTAAATAAGGTTTTATATTGGGAGAATATTTGCTTTTGGCTTCTATTAACAAATGTGTATATTGTAATATTTCTGGATCATTAACAGTTATGTCTTCTTGTTTTGAGTAGCTGTAAAATTATTGTAATATTAATAATTAGTAATTATAATTATTAACTTTTTGCTATACTGATAATTAACAAATAATAATTTGATATTATTATTTTATTACTTCCAAGACGAATTAGTTTGTGTAAATCTTGATACTCCAGTTTGTGCTGCTAAATTATCGATATGTACATATACTGACTCTGAAGAATTTTGTTCAAGTCTATGCAGTCTAGCAATAGCCAAACCTCCTGGATAGTTACAACTAGCTATGCATAAGAGAAACATAGAGAATATGGTATTTAAAACTAAGTGACCAATGACAATTAGCGACAACATTCCATTCCATGGCGATTTTCTTCTATTTTCCCATCTATCAATTATAAAATTAAAATTGATAATAAATAGTGAATTTAAATTTTCTATTTAGAATTAAAATACTCTTACATTCTATGACATGCAGCTGCTGTTGCAACATTTAGCAAGGGGAAGACATATATTATAAATCTTAATTCTTTATGTGGTAGAAATGAAAATAGTACCACAAATATTATAGCAGGAACGGTAAATGCACGTACACGTGGGTCCCATAAAATCCCCAAAGGAATTAGAAAATACGAAACAGCTAGGCCACGTGGAAGAGCTGAGTAAAAGTACCATAAAAATGGAGATGTCTATTTATATGTCAAGGCATATTTATATTAAAATATAAAAAATTAGATAATAAAGAATAATAAGAAGATAAAGAAAAAATAGTTAATTTTAATAGAAAATTTTAAGGATACACCCCATTCACTGCTCTTATTAAGAATGGTGTTGAAATAAAATACTTCTCCTTCTGGCCATAATAAACGTTTCCAAAAGATTGTGTCTATTCCAATAGTAAGTGCTAGGAATAATATACCGGCAGGTATTGCAATTTTAAGTAATCTAAAAATAAAATATTATATCAGTTCTTGTGATATCGGTTTCTTTTTTTTTTCAAAAAAAGGATGAGATATAAATTTGGACGAAAAAATTTTCACTTTAATATGATAAAATATTCCATTTGTCTAAACGCAAAGTATGTTGCAGATTTTTTTTATTTTTTTTTTTTTATTTTTTTATTTTTTTATTTTTTTTTTTTTTTTTTTTTTTTTTTTTCTTTTCTTTTTTAACTATCCCTGAACAAAAAAGCAAATACTTTGTAATAAGTTTTATACGCAAACAAAGCTTACAAATCTGTGCAGTTTTGCAGAAGATCCCTTGATGATTCTAATCACTTCTGTATGTAATGTTACAGCCATACTAGGTATCAATGGTCCGCAATATAATATGTAAATACCTTGGAACAGAAAGTTTCTGGTTGGCTATATCATATAAAAGGAATAGTCCCAAAAGAATAGAAAGTTCTGCTCTGAATATGATTATGGCTGCAGCTGACGACCAAATAAATATAACATGATTCTGTTTTAACCATCCATATAGCGCCAGCAATACTAAAAATCAAAAAAAAATAGTTACATTTTTTTTTTATTATATCATTTAATAGCTCAAAATTAAATATATTATTACCTAGAGGCATGGCCATTATATTAGGCAAAGGTCGGCTAAGATAATACATAAAATGGTACTGCGTTACCGTAATAGCCACAAACCAGTTTGTAAATTTAGTACCAAAGACATTTTCTAAGGCATTTCTATATAATTTCAAAGTGCCTATTACCAGCAAACTCAAAGTAGCTCTTACTGCAAAAAAAAAAAAAAAAAAAAAAAAGAAGATATTTTATAATTAATATATCAAGGAACATTTGAATTCTCAAAATAATTTCTAATAAAAACTTACCTATATATTGTGCAAGAAATTTATTAATATGAAAATATTTAATAGCTGCCACAAAGGGATAAGCAAGACCGGATATCGCAATAGGTCCAAGAAAAGTACGCGGTACAACTCCAGGAAACTCATGATGATCGTACTGTTAAGGTAAAAGCTTAATTAATTTTATTAAATTTTTTAAATAGGTACTATATAAATAATAAAATGAATTGGTATCATATTATTATTATTTAAACAAAAAAAAAACGAGTTATTGATATTATCGACATATGTGTATACGATTATATCATTATATTTATATAAAACAAGGAAGTGTAGTAGTTCAAATAACAGGTGCATAAATGCAACTGTGTCTCAGCTGATTGTACGATTATAAATACGCGCATCTCGTGCTAAATATAATACATGAGCTTTTGCGTAATATCTATTCGTTCGTGTTCGACAACCTGTCAAGTAAGATAAATAGTTTCGTCCAATTTAATTAAAACTGTTGAAGATTCTATTTCTTTTTCAAACATTTTTTTTTTTTTTATGAATAATTAACGATTAATGAATTACCTCAGACAAATTAAAGCCATGATACAAGAGGTCGTGTGTCGCTTGTAGATTAAAGCTTTCTTCGACTTTCGTGAATGGACAATACAATAAATGTATCGTTGCCACTAAAATAATTAAATGATCCATATTGTTCTTCTACATTTACGATCGATTCGAAACAAATTTGATTAATCCTTTTTTGCTCATGATCAAATTTGCAAAGACGTACGGCTTTATCGTAGTATGATAAAAATGATAAATTATATTACGACAAATCTGGCACCACGTCGTCTGCTTCGTTATTTCCAACACTTTCTATATCCAAACTGTGAAAAATCAAGAATACCAACGTGCCGAATAATATTGTTCCTAGATGAAATGATATTTATATGTTGGCAAGGAAGTAATACGATCGAAGAAATTCTTCGTTGGTCGATAAACATATATTCTCTCTAGACATATTTTGGATAGGAAGAATTAGAAAAAAAAAAAAAAAAAAAAAAAAAGAGAAAGAAAAAAGATTAAAGTATCGATAAACAATTTTATTTTTCTTTAAACGATACGTTAAATTTGACATACGATTAATAATAATTGTATAAAAGTACAACATTTTCTTTCTTTTTTTTTTCTTCTTCATTCGTTAATCAAATAAAAAAAAAAAAAAAAAGAAAAAATCGTATAAGACAGCGTAAAGTTATTTTTACGTGAGTAATATTAATTTTTTCAGTGTTAATGAAATTCTCGGATTATTTAAAATCGCATTAGAAAAAAATGACACTTGACATTTTCCATCGGTACGCTTGTAACGAGAAGAATAACTAGATATACTCGTATAATATGTATCTTGGCATTAAAAATATCACCAAAGATAATTGGAACGCAACTTATATATAACACAATACATATATGTATATACACGTTGACACGAAGGAGCTAAGGATTTTACTAAAATATTTATAAGCTATATGATAAAGAATTTACTCACGAAGATAAAAGAAAAATTGACAAATCAATGAGTAAGTGACATGGATCGATGATCGTGAAACGATATAAAATTACATACGTAACACGATGTAATAACACGAATACGCGCCTTTATTATATCGTACACATCATCATCGTAAATATAATCAAATAATAATCGGAAATAATAATTAAACTTTTTTTTAAAATAATAATTAACATGTTTTTTTGTTATTATTATGATTATTATTATTATTATTATTATTATTATTATTATTATTATTATTATTATTGTTGTTGTTGTTGTTGTTGTTGTGTTGTTGTTGTAGTTGTTATTATTATTATTATTATTATCAATATTATTATTATTATTAATATCATTATTATTATTAATAATCGATCATTGAGAGGATGTTATAATAGAAAAAAGAAAATAAAAAGTGTATATAAAATTATACGCGAGATAGAGACGGTAAGCGTGAAAGGGATCGAGTATAGAACGGATTAAACGGTAAATTCGATTTAGGAATGATTTCGTGGACTCTTAGTAAGCTCTTTTCTTTATTTGGAACGTCCTTTTTCCGTTTTATCCTCGATCGATAGAAAAATCGAGCCGATCGAAAGGGTTAAAAGGGATGTAAAGAAGGAAGAATGGTCGAGTAGGTTAACGCCTCGGTCGTGGTGGTGGTGGACGTGAAGAGGGCTTGTTGTGCAGCATGTGCTCGCACTTCGGAATGTGACGCTCCGCTGCCGCTTGGTTGAACTTCCTGCCACAGTGCGGACATTGAATATAGTCGCTGGTGTCGCTGACCGGTGGTGGTGGAAGGTCACTCAATCGTCCACCTGCCGCCAGATGTGCCTGAACTTGCTTCGCCGAGCGAATCGCATTTATGAACTCTTCGTGCTTACGTCGCCAATTCGACTTCACCTCTGGCTTCTTTGATTTCAACTGCAAACGATTACACAATCTATACGTATTTTCAGACATCGTAAGATGACCGACCTAAATACGCGATACTTTTATAAAAGGAAGGAACAAAAGTTCTCTTGATCTGAATCGTTTGTAACAGAATTTACTTCCATCTGACATTTCAAAGAGACTCAAATCTTAGATGTAAACATACATTTTTCTCTCTCTCTCTCTCTCTCTCTCTCTCTTTCTTTTTTAATTCTTTTTCAAAAAGAGAAAATCTTAAAAGTATTCTATATTTCTTTCGAATAATGGTACAACCATTTCTATAGATGCTAAAAATAGATAAATATTATATATATCGCTTTTATGTATATAGATCTCTAATAGATTTTGCGAATGTAAGGATTAAAAGATATCTGCATTGAAATTTATAGATATTTCATAAGAGAATTATCTATGATCAATTGTATTTTCATGCAACGAAAAATATTTCGAAATTATTACGATCCTTCCCTTATTAATAAATCGAACGAACTTACGTCGCCTTTTTTAGAGTTTTTCTTGACGAATGACTCTAATTCGGTCCCCTTAACTCTATACATAGTCGTGTCGAATTGTTTCCTTTTCTTTTGTACAGTTTTCGCGCATATCTGCTCATGGAGATTCACGCGATCTTGAGCGAATCGACGTCCGCATACCTTGCAGGCAATAAGGTTCTCTCTGAAACAATTATTACAGTGATTTCTCTTTCGAAAGTATTGCCAATTAAGATTCGAATCGTGCTAATAATAATAAGAAAAAAATTAAATAGCGAAAATGCCAAGATAATAATCGATTTTTACGAGCTTTCTCTCTTTCTCTTTCTCTCTTTTCCTCTCTCTCTTTCTCTCTCTCCCTTTCTTTCTCTTTGATTTTATTTCTTAACAACGATCGGAGAACAAAGGCAAATGAACGAGCGCAAAGCAATGTACATACTAGCTACGACTCTCTTCATCCTCACTTTTCTTTTTCGTTTGCTTGTTGTCGAGATGGGAGGGTCTGTGAAGCACAGACACTTCAAGAGCTCTGATATAATAAAGCTTCATCTGCATTTTCCCCGTCCTCCCCCCTTTCTCTCTATCTCTATCTCTTTTTATTTCTATCTATTTATCTCTATCCTATTTCTTGATTGTTTCTATATAAGTCGTTTCGCATAATAACGAATTACTTTGGCTATCTCTTTTCCTCTTTCCGTCAATTTACCTCCTTTATAGTTTGAATGAGTTACAAAGCGGTAAGAACGATCATCGTCTGCTTTTTAAAAAGCAGCTATTGAGAGTTATTTTCTCGGTTTCTTATTTTCTTTCTTTCTTTCTTTCTTTTTTTTTTCTTATTCTCTTTTTTTTTTTTTTTTTTTTTTTATTCATTCAGATAAAAACGTTTTCAGATATTTTCTAAAATATCGATAGAACTTATTAAATAAAAGAACCCAAAAGGTTCCATTATCATATTCTTCTTACGTCGTATTTTGGTTGGTTCCACTTTTAACGGCAGGATGTCCTTTGGAGCTCGGCGAAGCGCTGATCGGAGTTTTCGCTCTTGTAGCCATTCTCCCTTTCGAGCTGGAAATATGAGCCTGCGTTGTATTGCCGCTAGAAGCGGACGAGGTCGAGGACGTTGGTCTTCCCGATGTGGCCGATGATGTTTGCTGTTTCTCAAAATGTAATAAAGAGAACGTAGAAATTTAGATTCTCACGAGAATGACATTTTTCTATTCTACATCGACAGTCTTTGTCATTATATATATATATATATATGTGTGTGTGTGTGTGTGTGTGTGTATGTATGTATGTATGTATGTATGTATAAATATACACATATACATATAGATATGTGTGTATATCTCTTTTCTTTCTCTCTTTTTTTTTTCAGTGCCGCCTTGACAAACGTATATAACTATCGAAATTTTTACTCACTTCCATGGATTGCTTCTTGCCCAATGGCCTTTTGGAATCCGTACTATCGTTACTCTTCGAGAACGGTCGTTCCTCGAAGTCGATCGTAAACGCCTGACATTTCTTCGGTACATCGTTTTGTTCCTTCCTTTCGACGATCTGTTCCTGTAAATGTAAACCGTTCTGAAAGACGTTAGGAACATCCGCTTTTGTCGCTGATCTTTTAGACGTGATCGAATCCGAAGCTTTCACGAAGTTCGCTTTTATCGATGGCTTCGTTTCTTGAGTCTTAGACTCGGTCGAGATACGCTATAAGAAAAAAATCGTTGCTATTAATAATCTATGTATCTACGTCCCGTTTCATTGGAAGAGTAATAAATAAATATAGGCTTGAAATTCTATGGAATGACAGGATTATATATTAGGTTGTTTGGAAAGTTTGTGCTACTTTTTTATATATCTATTGCAACATGTTAGTACATGTAAAACGATACTAAAAATTCTTTCATATGTATATGTATGTAATATGTATATATATATATATATATTGAAACGAGACATTTGATCAAATCTGTACATTTTTAATTCTTTTTTTTTTATTTAGTGATTCATTTCAATTTTGTATCTCATTGAAAATGGAAGGTTGTAAATTATTATTAGGAAAGACAAGAGTGCAATGCGAATGATAAAAAAATATTTATACTGTTTACGATTGTTCTGAAAGAACATTTAAGAAATGATTTGCAAAGTTTAGAGTTGAAGATTTCAGTTTTGAAGATATCAAACTCTTGGGAAGACCTTTCAGCATTGATGACCAAATCAATATACTGATCGACTATAATCAGCACTATGCAGTTCGCGAGATAGCAAAGATATTCAATTAATTGAAAATTAAGGTTCAAAAGTATTTAATAAAATTTTCTAATCGGCACGTACTTCCTAGACAACTCAATGAAATTATATACATAAAAATATATTTGTTTATTTGTGGATAAATAGGAATACTTACCCTAGGTAAAATATCTGGACTCTTCGAAGGTGAGGAAGGAACGCTTCTTCTCGTCACCATAGTACGACAATCGTTATCCGAAGATTTTTTCGAATTTGTCGAGTCGGGACTCGGACTTTTCGTAATCCTACCAAAACGCATCGAGTTCTTAGATAAAATCTTTCCACAATCTCGTAGGTGAGAATTATTCTTCGATCGATCGTTCGAAGGAAACCTTTTTCTATTTAGAGGGTCACTGTCGACGACAATTCGCGACTGCCTTTCGGACTTCGTCGAAGCCTTTAAAATTTCATTTGCAATCGCTGACCCCATTTCGGCTTGTCTCGCGGGATCGATATTGGTTATTTGTGTCAATGCTACTACCGTCGTTCCGCTACTATCTGATACGATGGATTTTCGTATGTCCTCGATAGAACGTAATGGCTTTACGACAAGCGTACAATCCTCATCCTCGTGTTTTTTTTTATTCTCGCTCGTAGAAATTTCCATGGATCTTCTAAGTAAATCATTTCCTTTCCGTTCATGAGACGGATCTTTTATCGAGCTAGTACATATACCTTCATTTTCTTTTTCAAAATCTAAATCCTGAAAAAGTTTACGTTTGCATATCGGAGATCGTGATTTTGGAGTTCGAGCAATCTTCATCGAGTCTTTCGCTTCCGCTATTTTCTTTCCTTTAATACGATCTTGTCGTAAAGAATCTACCTTCGTTAAAAGTATTTTTCTCGAATGACCCGGAGATTTCTTAAATATGCTAACGTTTGTATTCTTCTTTTTAGAATTCAATTTCGATTGATCCATATTAACTTGCGATGATTCTAACCTTTTGGTCTTTGCTTTTGTTTTTATAGATTCTTTCTTCTCTTTTGGAATTATCGTTGATAACTTATCGACAGAAATTTTAGATAATAAATCATGCGTCATGCTGTCTACGCAATCTCGTCCAATTGTGTCTTGATATTCAGACTCTGCACCGATCGAATCGAAACGTTTCAGAGCGGATTCTACGGAATCAGTTCTATCATAGTAATTTGTTTTTGTCGATGATGATATCATAGAAATTCTATTAGAATATGTATCGTTGAATTTATTTTTTGAAACTGATTCTGTTAACTTCAAGTTATCCATTTCTTGCTTATCAGAATGTTGAGCTTTTATTACGCGTCGTATAAGTTCAGTAGATCGTAGTAATTCTTCTTTCGCGCCTTCACTTTTAATTTGTTCCGTCGGACTTTGAAGAACTCGTTTGTATAACGGGGAAGTACTTCTCTCTCGAATTTCCTTCCTCGATTCATCGAAAGTTATGTCTTTTAAACTTACATTAGTACTTCGATTCTTCGACATGCTGTCCTTGTTCGAGTAAAGCGACGAAGTTTTCGTTCGTAAAGATTCATTTTTAATGGCTTTCAAATCTTTACTGTTTCGCCGTTTAGGTACAGAAACAATTATCTTCTCGTTCTTGGACAAATGCCTTTTGCTCGACTTCGAACTCGTCAAACCTTTCAAATCGATACTTTCTATCTCTTGTTTTTTCCATAACTTTTCGTTTAATGATCGATTACTTTCCTTAAACTTTTGAACTTGATCGGTTTCATCCTTACGATGAAATATATTCGTATCCAATACGGAATTTCTTTTTTTACCTTCTCTGCGAATAGGATAAGTAAAGAGATTTGCCGATCCTGTCTTGTCGCCATTTCTTATCTTTTTTCCGCTCGACTTCGAATAAGTCTCATCCGCAATCGATTTTTTGATATCTTTTTTTTCCCTTTGCTTGCAAGTATTATCGTTGTAACGCACGTGTTGATCGGTCATTGTAATTTCTTGAACTTCGGTATCTATCTCGGTCGACGTGAAACTTTTTGGACTCTTTGGACTCTTTGGACTCTTTGGACTCTTTGGACTTTTTGGACTTTTTGGACTTAATTGTAGATTCGTATCAATAGTCTTTAACGAAAGTTTACGTTCGCGATTAGTTAATACATTTTTTAAATCAGTAGTATCTTTTAGATCTATTTTAAGAAAAGTTTTTTTAATAGAATCAATGGGAGATCTTTTGTTAATTAATGTTTTACCATCGTGCGGCTTGTTTTTTTTCGGCGTAATATTGGAATATTTCATTGAATCAATTTTTGAACGATCTTCGTCCTTCTTATTCTTTTCTTCTGTATTTTGTTTTTTCATAACGTTACGAATAAGTTCTATAGATTGTAAATTATTTGTCGAATCCCTTCGTGACTTTAATTCGAAGTTGAAACTCTTGTTAGAAGTATCGGAACTATCTGATGATTTACGAATTTTACGTTCCAGTTTTAAATACGACGGACTTTGTTTGGCAATCATCTTTTGAGAGATATTCGATTGAAAATCTTTACTCGTCATGATACCATCGTGTTTGTCCTCGTTCGTACTCTTTGGTCTTGGTTTAAGGCTCATCGTTGTAGCGGATTTTTCAGTTTCAACACAGAAAAATTCAGGACTCGTATCACGTTTTTCTACGATACTGATTAATTCTGGAGAAGGACTATGCTTAGATTCCATGCTTGTCGTGGTAGAACTTTCGGAACGTCTACGATAAGGTAAAAAAGTGGATGGTTCTCTTTTGTAAGAACGTTTATCGTTGTTACTCGGAGCGATGGGAAAATTGTAGACTTTTCTAAGAGAAACTTTTGTACTGGCGTCTGGTCGTTTCGTATTCGAGGAAGGTTTCGATGTACGCGTCGAGATGTCCAAGGTATCGATAGATATCTTCGTAGCAGATTTCTCCGATTCCTTAGAAAAGAATCTTGGGTTATCTCTACGATATATCGTTTCGTCTACGGTAGGGACATCGGCTTTTCTCTTTTGAAATATGGAGCTACCCGCAGACGTGCCGGTTTTTCTATCGTATCGTATTTTCTTCGATTTAGCTTCTTCTGTCTTCGATTTTTCAAATGGCTCTTGACCGTATTTTACTCTAGCTTTTTCAGTTTTATACTTATTTGATCGTTTCTCCCTGATATGTCCCGTTTTCGTCTTCGTGGTCGTTGCACTCATCGTTACGCCGTTGCTACCGCTTCTGAGAAATGTAAGTTTTGACAAAGGCCAAGATGATAATTTCTTTTTTTTTTTTCTATTTTTTTTCTATTTTTTTTTTCTATTCTTTTTTTTTTTTTTCATTTCATCGACGAAAATCGCTCAAATCTCTCACCTGATCTTGTAATCCAAGTAGAGGTATTTTTTTTTCTCTCCCTAGCTTAGCACGAAAATGATGTGGTTAGTGATCCGTGCGTTTAATGCGCGAGAGGCATTTTACATTAAGTATTTCTAGTCGCTAATGAAAAAAAAAAAAAAAAAAAAGAAAACTTTGAAATCGCTTGTATTTTCCTTATCACCTTATGTTAAAACCACTGTGTGACTTGGGTTAGGGGATACATTTAGATGAACAGACAAAAAGGAGGTACAGCGAGAGCCAGCCGGTCGAATTTGTTCGCAGCAGGATTATGTCGTCAGCGAGCTTAAGCTGGGATCTATCTCGAAGGTTTCGCCGCGCGTTTAGAATCGAGTTAGGGACTCCATTCGACATCCTCTTTCTGCCTTGTTAAATTGATGTCACAGACAGCAATGCGAAGCTTCCAGCGACCTCCAATATTTTCAGGATCTTGTTCAACATTGACAATATAATTGTTATATATCTCTTTTCCTTCCAAATTATTCTCTTGTCGTAACATTAAGGCGAATAACACAGGATCGTGCATTTCTTTCTTTTTCGACTGTTTTGTTTTTTTTTTTTTTTTCTTTTATACATCTACCAATTTTTAAATCCTTCGTTAAAAGCACTAAAATTGCTTCTTTCTCACTTTCTTTCTTTCCTCTCTCTCTCTCTCTCTCTCTCTCTCTCTCTCTCTCTCTCTCTCTTTCTATTTCTCTATTTCTCTTTCTCTCTTACTTTCTTTGTCGGAAGTTTTATTTATTTGTTAAGCTACTACATTTGCATAATTTTAAATGCCTAATGCCTAGTCAGCGATTGCAACGATATATGACGATAAAAATTAATCGTGTGGTAAGCAGTTGCGTATTGTTAGCATGATTTATTTTCTAATTTATTATAGATCGCGTAGATTTGTTTTTTCGAGAACGTACGAACACATACACACACACACACACACACACACACATAATGATTTATCAATTGAATATTTCTACAAAAAATTTCATCGAATGACAAAGGAGGTTTTTAAAGAACGCGAATTCTATAAACGATAAAATACCTCGAGGTCGTTCGTGCTGGGAGCAATGGTTCCGATCGTTTCTTGGCCCCTGTAGTCGTTGAATTTGAAAGTTTGCTAGCATTATTTCGTTTGGCATTCATATTCTTGAATCGTTCCAAGCGTGCCTCGGCTTGAGATAACTTTTTACTGATAGTTCTCTTCGGTACTTTGTCGGTAACTTCGACCAAAAGATCTTCCGGAAATTCTTCGCTTTCTAGATCATTTTTAACGCGATACTTCAACGTCTCGTCGTATTGCATCAAATGTAGCTTAGCCATCATTCGATTTCTTTGAATCGTGTCCTCGTCCATGATCTCTCGTATTTGTATCTGTAACAAAATGTATTCCCATTCTGTTTATTCGTTTAATGGAAATAAGAAGGTAGGAGGAAAATGGAATACCAAGAAAAAGAAAAGAAAAGAAAAAAAAGAAGAAGAAGAAGAAGAAAATTTGTACAGGGAAAATTAATTATTTCAACGAACCTGATCAGGATAATTTCCATTAACGTAATGAGTCGTACGATTTTCGTTACCGAACACTTCCACATCGTCCGAAGGTACGTCACGCGATGATGATGATTCCCTTGTGATCTCTTCGTGATAAGAAACTATAGGTTTGCCTTCGTTAACATTGCTGTTTACGTCGGAACGCGTTACGCGTTTTACAGTAATGGATTGTCGATTGACGGTCAAATCATTGTTTCTCGAATTGCCGATGCCATTGCTTATCGGTTGCTTTCTCGTTTTATTGTCAAGTGGCTCGAGGGGGTAACTTCTATCGATGCCTTTCACGTTCGTCTGTCGTCGATCGTTGAATACTTGCTTCACCTTATTCGAGAATTTCGATAAGATTGTATTGTTGAGTAATAACATTTGACATTAGGAGGACGATATTTCTCTTTTATTTTATCGAAGATTCGTTAAAGATTCATTTTTTCCAACTTTTTTACTTTCTCAAAATTTTGAAAAATTATAAAAAATTTAATAGCATCGGAATATTATTAAAATAAAATCGTTAAAAGTTTTACGAATTACTATTACCTTTATTATTTTTAAGAGAATTCGAGATCGAGCAATCTTGAATAATATGCAAAGTGTTTCAGAATATCCGAGTAAAATTTAAAACAGGTAGGATCGAACGGACACCCATCGCTATTCGTCTTTTCATCCGTTGACGTAGATATATCAAGCTCGTAGAAGATAAATGTTTTACCTTGGTAGCTTGCGAGGTCGAGGTCATGTGACCGGAGGAAGAAGTCCTCGTAACAATCTGATGATGGTGGTTAACCGTTGAGGTCCCTTGGCCAGAGCCATTCGATCCTGAGCTGCCTCTTTGTGCCACCTGATATGCCCTCTGTTGTTGCTGGTCGTAAAGCTGCAGCAATTTCTGTTCCTTCTCCTGCAGCTGCTTCTGTTGAAAGCGGGCCTGCGACACGCGTTGATAATTATAATTTTCCCTCGTGATGGCCGTCATCGAGAGGCCGACCCGCCCTTTAGCCCTAAGCTTTAAGCAAGTTTTCAGTGTTCTACAATCCGTTCGCAAGACACCAACCGCGAATAGAACCACGAGTTGCACGCTATAGTCCGACTCAGTGTACGTAATGCATATGCACCGCGAGTGCGATGGGTAACGTCCGACCTCATCGATTCCTTCTGACCTACATCCAACCGAGGGGTTAGTAAACTCGTTAGCTCGGCTGGTCCACTCTTACAAAGCGCGTCGAAACTTTTCCCTCTCCTTTAACGTTTAACGCTCAATGCGTAGCTATATAGGCCGCGACGAAATCTTTATTCTTTGTTTCATAGTAAATTGAATTTATAAGATAAAATATCTTAGTAGCTTTTTCCCTCTTTTTTTTCTTTTTTTTTTTTTTTTTCTTTTTTTTTCATTTTCTTTTCTTCCATCTCACATCCTTTCACTTTTGTAAAAGACTTAGTTAAAATTTATAATTTTCTTTGCAAGTTATTATTTATAATAGATTCATTATTATTATCATATTCGCTGTTAGAAAAATTCAATATCTTTTGAATGATATGAAGAACTTTTGAGCAATCGTATTTGGTAATATGGATCTGTTAAGATCATAGTTCCAGTTGAATACATTTTAAATGACAGAGATGGAAACTCACAAAGATGGAAAGGTTTGTCCTTGTAACATCCATTATCTAAAGTGTAACTATCACGATATCAGGTAGGGAACACCTTCAACAACGACGCAAATATAAATTCGATGCTGATTGAATCATTGAGTTGGCAATCAGGCACACCGATAATTGATTTAACCCTAATGAGACAGCGTTCTAGCGTACCTCGGCTAGCCGCTTCGGCAACCTGCCTATACCTGCTTGTGTTCGTCGAGTTCGTATTCGCGAGTGTACACGTTTGAATTTCGAATGCGTTTGTCTGGATGGTCGCGTACAATGTAATGTCGATTAGATCCATTAATATCGAAGATATCGAATATAATCATTTTCAAGAATTTTGTTTAATGAAAGTCAATTTATTAATCACCGTTATCATCATTTCTCTTATTGTTGTCACATTATCATATTCAGTAAATTTTTATGAGAGATCGGTGCCAATGAAAGTGACGTGATTCGAACGATATCACGTTACTTTTGAAATCGTGATACGTGCTTAAAGCTTAGCGACTGTATTTATAGAGAGAGAGAGCATCGACAAGCATTCTCCTACGTAATACCAGCGATCGATTCACATTAAGTGCACGCTACCAATCATTCTCTCACGAACGAAAGAGAGAGAGAGGGAGAGACAGAGAGAGAGAGAGCGAGAGAGAGAGAGCGAGAGAGAGAGAGAGAGAGAGAGAGAGAAAGAGAGAGTGCCTCCAATCAAGAAAATTTGCATTATTCCGTGGTATAAGAGAATAAACAATCTTACGAAGCGTGATGAAGCGTCCACGTGTTACGGAATTTCTTAGAAAAAATGAAAGAAAAAAAAGAAAAAGAAAAGGGAAGAAACGTGTTCGGTCGTCATACTTTCGTGGAGAATGTGAACCAAGGCAAAGTTAGCGTGATACTCCGTCGTTCGTGTTAAATTTGATTTGGATTAGGTCAGGATACTTCGCATTTCTTTTTTCTTTCTCTCTCTCTCTCTCTCTCTCTTTCTCTTTCTCTCCCTCTCTCTTTTCTTGAATAACGTTGCCAGTGAAAAATAAAAAAAAAAAAAGAAAAAAAGAAACGAAAGAAAAAAGAAAAAGGGAAATTACGTAATTGCGAATGCGAGTGTCCTTTCTCGCTCAAAGGACACTCGAGGAACACGTTTATCGATGAAATGAGTCCTTCAGAGGGGATTCTTCGCGTGGGTGAAACTGGAAATTAATGTGTATGTATATGTATGTATATATGTATGTATGTATGTGTGTATGTGTGTATGTGTGTATGTATGTACGTATGTATTTTAGGGAGAAGGGGAGGGAGTGACGGAGAGAGTGCGTTCACCTTGTCCTTAAAGAAGTCGCTGGGTCAGTGTAAACGGCCTGAAGCTGTGAAAAGGGAGCAAGAAAATGGTAGGAAAGGTGAAAGAAGATAAAGAGCAGACGAAGAGGAGAGAAAGAGAGAAAAAGATGCGAATATACGTTGATGGCGAAGGCAGAAAGGAGGTCAACGACGAGTGCTTTCGTAAGACTCGTCGTCACGTTGTCCCTTGAAAACTGGTCTCTCATCGTCCGAGTTCGTTTCGTTGCATTTCATAGAAAGAAAGAAAGAAAGAAAGAAAGAAAGAAAGAAAGAAAGAAAGAGGGAAAGAGAGAAAGAGAGAAAAGAAGGACGAGGCTTTCTTGAACGAAGAAAAGGAGAAAAGATATGATCAAAGACGAGACGAAGAGAATATCTTTTTCAATATATTTATATAAATGTATATATTATACATGTATATACATACATGTATATAAATGTATATATATATATATATATATATATGTATATGTCATTGTTTAAAATATTTAAAAAAAACTACAAGGGAATCGTCGTTTCGTCTCGACCGATATGAAAAGCTATCTATTCTATTTCAATAGTGCATCGTGATACATAGTACATTACATTTTCCGGAGACTTTACTCCGTTGGTTAGATTTGTTGGAAAGGAAGGAAGTTCATGAAAGTTCGATGACGTTTGCAGATCCATTGGTACGGCACGATTGGCAAGTTGTTTCGACATAATCGATTCGATTCTTGTTCGTTTATTGGATTTATCTTTAACGATGGTATCGTGATTATTCTTTTCTTTGGTACGATCTTGCCAACAGACAATAAATTTCTCCACTAAGTCACCGTATTCCTTGACCTTTTGTTTTCTCATTTCTGATCGATTGTCCTCCATTATGGTCGATCATATTAAAAAGCGACGAATTTCCTTCATTGTTAACATTGAGAGTTCATTGAAAATATTTTTTAATCAATGAACAAGATTTTTCTTAATATCGATATTGTATAACAACGATGAGCTAATCATTGTTTATATATATATATATATATATGTATACATGTATATGTATGTGTTATTCACTGTTGTCGTCTTGATAAGTAACGTGTGTCGGATGAGACAAGTTTTATTGTGCGTCTGATTTGTTGACGGTGAGAAGGTCGTAGTACCGCGTGTCAAGTTCACAGTCTTCTCTTCGTAAACTTTGGAAGAACTAGTTCCTCGAGAAACTCGGTGCTGTTCAGACGTTAGTCGAACAAAGCGTACCAAGTTCGTTATCGAACTTCCGCGAATTGCATATCGCGTGTTCCGGTACTTTCTTATTATATCGTTGCATTTTTATCCTCTGTTTTATATTTTCTCTTTATATATATATATATATATATATATATATATATATATATATATTATATGTATAATAACGATAATTCTCTTATAATGTGATTATAGAAGTAACGATATGCTTACAATATCTTTGTTTTCTTTTCATCCAACAACTTCTCTTAAGTGTTTGTTTTCTATTATTACTCTCTATATCGACGACGTTATAGTTTCAGTTTCTAACGAAATGTTGGACGTACCGTTAGAAAGAGGAAAGAGAGTACTCGTAGGGCAGTACACGAATGTTGCCACAGTAAACTGTGTTATATCCAACTCTCTACAGTGTATTCGTGTTTTGTTGCCACGCATGCGTAACATTTCTATCCTTAGAGAGTTTCGCATACCAGGTATAATAAAAACAGGATAACTACGTTATAGTTATAAAAACGGTGACGTCTTTTCGAAATTCACATTTTCGTTCGATCATTTTATTACTTTAAGAATATTAATGAAGATTTTAATAAGAGAGATTGTTTATATCGATTTTTACGATTGAATTAAAATTTATGATCCTGTTTCGGATAATAGATCGATAAAAGATACTTTTCGATGGAGCATAAGAGAGAATACAACGGGTGGTGGAGAAATTCAAGGTCAGCATATCGACGTTCCACGGATCGAAGCACCTAGAAATTCTGACTCCATCGAGCGAAAGGTTCAAGGTCTCTCGAGAATATCGTCTCGGTTGTGCAAGACGATTGCTTACTCGTTCAAACAGACCTTTCCCTAATCACCCGTGATAAGTAATAACCAATAGGTACAATTCTCTGTAACGAGTTTCCTACTTCACAATGGAGAATTAGGTCAATGAATTAAATAATTCTCGAGTATACTTTCCATCACGATTTTTTTATGTTAAATAGAAAATAATAGTATTATATAGAATATTCGTGGACAAAGGTGCGCCGAAGAAGAGAAGAACGATTGTTAACTGCCTACGCTTGACCTTCCTCAGTCGTTCGTTCTGGGACGAGAGAGAGAGAAAAGAAGAGAAAAAAGAAAGACATTAAAGTAACATAATTACGTCATGATACTTTTTCGAGAAGGCGTAATTACGTTCTTGATATACATATACATACATAAGTTAGCATTTATTTATCATTAAGTACGCATTTAAGAAATGATCGACTGCGAAACGAAAGGTTAAAAATATTTCCTTTGAACTTTTGTCCTTTATCATTATCGCGGAAACAAATAATATTCTAGAATTACTCGAAGATGAAAAAGAAAAAGAATATATTATAGAAGACGATTGTAATCATACTCATTCAACGTTATCTTTTTCTGTTCTATCTAGTCTACCAAGTAACTTGTCATTTAACTGACACTCGCTTTTATTATTTAATGGGAGAACAGGTATATTGAACATGGCGGGAGGTGAACTCGTTCACGTTTTTATGCGGTTTTATGGACGTGAATGCCGTCACGATGTCATGCGAGAAGAAGGTGCGAGCTTGCGGTCCCAGTTCTGCGTCTTCTAGTTCTGATACGGATAAATCTGTAAATGTGGGTTTGGAGCAAGGAGGACTACCACCTCTCTCTCTCTCTCTCTCTCTCTCTCCCTTTCTATTTATTTATCTTTCTTTTTCTAGTACTTATCGACACTCTCGATAACGGTCATCCTTGGGTGATATAAATTATTTATAAGAAGATTCGCGTTGCAAGACGCTCTGGCAATTTGTAATTGTAATTTATTTTGCCTATGTGGAGAGTGTTACACGTACTTACTTGTTAGACAAGCGGACGGCCAACTAACGCAATTATATACCGGATTCGTTCTACGAACGTGTGTACCTACGTTCACGAGCTCGAGAGAATCTAGCGCTGCCTTATCCGTGATAAAACGTTTATATGTACATAGAACACGTTGACTTGTCTCGTATCTTTCAAAGTATTATACCTATATTAAAACTTTACAATTCTCACGAGATTAATAGATATGATTTTCTATTTAAAAATATCGATTATCGTGGAATTTCATCTAGAAGAGAAGAGATGAGAAGAGAAGAGAAAAAAAAAATACTCGTTTGAGTTTTGGACAAGCGTGGGTGCTTCGAAAGTACACCAATACCACCCACATGCCTATCGTCATTATCCTCGACGTCCAAATATTTTCTACATTCTTTCCATCGAATTGTCTAATAAGTTTCTATAGCACGCCACTCATCCCACCTCTCCCATTTTTAATGAGAGAAATTTATTACGAAAGAATACCAATTTTCTCTCGGCATATACGCCATTTCGTTTATCTTTTATTTCTGCAGCTCTCTTTCTTTTTTTTTTTTTGCGCCTTCCCTCGCAAAATTTTTGCTACAAATACCATAGCTAAAAAAAAAAAAAAAGAGAAAAAAAAAGAAAAAGAGAAAAAGAAAAACAAACGCTCGATGAATTTCCACGGATAAAATCAAGATATTTTAAGAGATAAACGATTGAAAGAGTTTTTTTCCTTCTCGACAATTGAGATTGTTTTCTTTTTTATTTTGTTTCTTTTATTTTTAATTCTTTTTTCGAAGACGAAGAAAATAAAATAATTCAACGAAGTCGTTCGCAGAACGAGGACGAGGCTTCGTCGGACGGCGACTGAAAAGACGGAGGAAATGACGTCACATTATTATGGTTACGGATCTCCGTGGTCGGTTGCGGTTGACAAACCAAGCGTCTATGATTCCGTTCTCCTCCGATCCCTTTTGCCATCCTTTTTCTTCTCTATATTTTACCTTCTGCCTCTTCCTTTCTTCGAGGATTGCTCTTTTGTTAGGACTTTGTTATATGAGAGTCCAAAGTAGCCTTTGCTTTCCATTCGAGCAACCGACATTCGAAACCAGAGAGCGACCACTCGAGTTGAAGAAAACAAGACGATATTTCGGTACTCTTTTCTATTCGTGCAACGTTAACGTTTCGTTCGTTTGCTTGAAGATAGAAGAATATAAGATAGATAGATAAAAAATAGATAGATAAAAAGATGGAGAGAGAGAGAGAGAGAGAGAGAGAGAGAGAGAGAGAGAGAGAGGGAAAACATGGATTTTCAAATTATTATCATATTCCTCGTGATTGTCTTTGTTCAAAATAAAATCATTAGGAACAAGAGAGATTGCAGATCTATCAACACAAAGCTCGTGAAGCTCGTTTAATTAACTATTTATTACGACGACATCGTAATCTCATTTCACCGGTTTCTTCATCGTATTTCAACAATGACTATATTCAGACGGTGGATATCTCTGTCCTTTGGTTTTGGGTACATCGAATACGTGGGTCGTTAGCTAGGTCATACGCTGGCAAGACAAGATGCCATATATGCGTCGAGTCAGCGCACATAACTGATACGTGGGCCAAAGGAGAACGAGAGATAGATAGATAAATATATATATATATATATATATATATATATATAGATAGACAGAGAAGGAGAAAGAGAAAGAGAGAAATATATAGCGGTATGCCTTAATCCAACCTAAGAACATATCGAGAACGTGAGCCTGCGTTCACGAAGACTGTCACAATACATGTTACGATCATTCGAGGATCTACGTGTTCATAGATCGATGTTAAGATATCCTTTATTCACAAGAAGGGTTATTAAGATTTTCGTTCCCTCACCTGCAGCATCTCGAGACGCGATGACGCCTGTGGTGCTGCCATAGTTGATTAGCTGTATTTCTCTTCCCCTCCTGTTTCTTGATCGCGTTCGTCTGCAAACAAGCAATTAAATATTCTGTATATTGCATCTGGACGGGGAACAATAGCTCAAGATATCGTAGCACGATTTCTATTCTCTACTTAGGTTCGTTCGTTCGTTCCCTCGTTCGTTCGTTCGTTCGTTCGTTTGTTCGTTCGTACGTTCGTTCGTTCATTCGTTCGTTCGTTCGTTCGTTCGTTCGTTTGGATGCCGGCACTCTTCCAGCACTTTGGAGCTTTTAATGACGTCATTATCTAAATTAAACCCACGAGTGTGTGCAGTAGCCGAATATGCATCCAACTACCAGTCTCAAAACTACCGGTAACTCACGCTCAGATATATTCACTTCTGGATACAGTCCGTTGCATCCGAATACACGCTTACTTAACACAGATACAGAATGCTAAACGAGTTCCGAAGAAAAAGGACGCGGGATTAATTTAAACGCCTCGAGCTCACCAAATGGAATCGCTCGTATAGTTCGATGAGAAAAACGATTGGCGAAGATAATCAACGTAGTTTCTATGATCATCCTACGTGAAAAACTTTGTTATTAAGGTGCTATCCAAAATGTACGGACATTGAAGAACACACACGATCGGGACAAGAAAGTATGTGGTGATATCGAGCTCACCCACGTTTCGTGCCAATCGATCCACCCACGTTTAGAAACGTTTGATTTTTTACTTACTACAAAAATCGTTCGCTGAGAGAGAGAGAGAGAGAGAGAGAGAGAGAGAGAGAGAGAGAGACAAACAACAATCGGCTTCGTGCTTCATTCTCCACCCACGACGATATCGCGAATCATTACGTGTAACAACACGAAGGGATCGAATTTAATACTTTGAGATTATCGTAATGGAACAGGTGGACAAAGTGAAAGCACAAGACGATTGGATAATCGAAATGCCGAAAGACTTTTTACCAATTTATTCTTGAAGAATTTCTGATAAAAATGAATGATCGAATATTGTTGGAAATTTTTTTTTTCCATTTCGTTATAAAGTCGAGAGAGAAATGAGGAGAAGTTGAAGTGGAATTTCGTTCGGAACCCGCGGCCGTGATAATCGGTTTTGGAGTACTAGAAAATCGGTTTAATAACTAGATCGAATATTCATGAAAAATTCCACACCTACGTAGAAATCGAACACACCGTTGTTGTTCGATCACTTGTATTACTTACTAGTGAAAATTGATTTTTCTTTAACTATTGCGACAAACTATCGATTGTTCTTGCTCGATTATATTTAATTACTTGAATTTCTAATAAAGTTTTTCTTTTTTCTTTTTTTTTTTTTTTATTACGAATCAAAATAGAAAGTCGTGCGATTAATCTTGAAAGTAAAGTTATTTCGCATCCTTTCGCAGACTGATTAACGTTCGTAGAATTTCTAAGCACTAGAAGTAGACGCGAAGCGAAAGTTGGACGAAGGGCCGTCCCGTAAAACTGAAAACTCTCGAGGAGAAGTTTGGCATGAGGTATTCGGGTTCGTTCGTGCGTCTGGGTCGCGTCCTCGTAGAAAATTATTAACTTCAAGTTGTGTGCCGTTATGCCATGTAATAGTCGTCGTTGTAGTCGCTGTAGTAGTCGTTGTAATAGTCGTTGTAATAGTCGTCGTAGTAGTCGTCTTTGTCGTCGTCGTCGTCGCAATAGCGTTTTTAGGACGGCACACAGCTATCGTGACTCATGACGGCGACCCATGACGTAATTGCTACAATCTTTTATGGTTAAGAAGCGCGAACGATGAATACGATTCTCCATTCTTTACTAACTTTCGATTTCAATGTTCGACATCAAAGTTCGACATGATCATCGTCCTAGTCGTCGTCATCGTCCTCGTTCTCATCCTCGTCGAGTTGATTTCAATCGATTCTATTAGCAAATAATCACCTTGGAAAATGATCTCCTTTCGATCATTAATCGCCATCGCAATCGATTCACACTCTCGGCTATCGCAATACGAGGTATCTACTAATACGTAGCAAGGTGAACCTGCGGTTACAATAACTTGCGATTCCACCCTCATGAATAATCTCGCAAGGTGTTATTGAACTTGAATGGACCGCTTTGCGTACCTCCGATATTACCCAACTCGTCCCTTTGTATGCTAAGTCCATTGTAATATGAATTCGCGGTTTGTGTGTATGGATGCAGATAGATATTCGTATGTATTCGTCGCATTTCCGTGTGAATGATGACGCGTTTTAAAAAGTGTGATATTTTATGAAATCGTATTTGAAAAGTTTCTCTCGAAAGAAATTCGTTTTCTAGGACTTCGAGGGGAATTATAACGAGGTGATCGCCAAGTTTTTCAGTTTCTTCGCATAAGAAAAAAAGAAAAAAAAAAAAAAGAAAGAATGAAAGAAAAAAGGAAAAAAAAGAATCCTCCGGCTTTATATACTTTACATTTTTCTAATTAATTATTTTAACTTGAAGAAGGATAAGCAACATGATGTATTGATAAATTTGTATTTTTTTCAATTATTTTCTTTTTTTTGGAAATTCATTTTTCCCTTCACCGATGGAAAGGTCAGAAAAAAGAAAATTACTAAATTAAATTGAATTCTGACCTTTCGAAAGGTATGACCTTTTGTTGATAAAAATTGAAGGAAATTTCAATTAGAAAAAATGCATTAATTAATCTGATAACGAAAGAATGATAAATTTCTCACATTTTAAGATAACGTTAAGTAACGTAGATATTTGGTCACGCTCGTGTCCTATTGCCAGTATTATTTATAGTTTAACTAAAAATGTACGTATGCCAGGATTACCATTACAGTCCCATGCGTATGGTCACTGTGGCAGGTACGCTCGACTCCATTTCTATAATTAAACGGCGGTCACGAGAAACGACGGACGCGATCGTATGCGAATGTAATTCGTTTTAAAACGAAGGAACGATTTGTTAAGAGAAACGTGCGAACGCATTCTCCCACATGGGATGCACGTGTTACTGCAACGAGATGAACTTTGTATCATAAAGAAATACCTATTCGACGCGCCGATGCATTCTAACGATATTGCTTGCACTTTCGTTAATTTAAAAATATAACAATTCAGAATATTCGTGACTCTTTATTATACAAACCTAAATCAAATTTGATTTAAAATATATTCGATTTGAATGTAATATTTTTTTCTTTCATTCTTTTCTATTTTTTTTTGTTCTTTTTTGTTCTTTTTACATCAATTTCTCAAAGAAGTACACGTAAATTATTTCTAATTACGAAAATATTGTCATTTGTATTTGATTGATAATTATTTATAATTACAATAATATTATCATTTATAATTCTGATATTATATACAGGTATATATATATATTACATAAATTATATAAATAATTATATATATAAATTATATAAAACAAATATATATATATATATATATATATATATATTTTGTTTTTTTGTTTTTAATTAAAATACGAAGATCTTTAGAGAAATAGATGGAAGTAATATCGATATAGATAATCATAAAAAAATATTCGCGGAAACTTTTCAAAAGATCTTTCTCAATCGATCGATTAAATGAAGTTTAAAAGTAGTGCAAGCAAATAGTTTTGGATAACCTCGTATTGTTAACTCTGTACGTATTAATGATACAATTGGGATTACCGCGTCTAAAGAAGTCTCGTAAACACTCGGAGAAAGCAGACGCTCGATAGACGCATAGTCTAGTCTGTTCTAAACATCTTCCCTCTTTCTCCTCTCGTGCGGATCTATAGCGCGTGCGAACTATAGTAGCAAGGGAGTTAAGTACTTACTTACGATCATCTTCCTTCGAAAATCACGATTCTTCGTTGTAATTAACTGCATTTCCATTCTACGAATTTAAAAGCGATGATCTCGAGCGAATCTTTAACGAATCACTTTTAAGATTCGTCTATCTATGTATCTATCTACCTATCAATTTATCTAATCTTCAAATTAATTTTCTTTTCTTTTCATTCGTTAATTTTATGATAACGTTTACGTTTAACAACGACGTTTCTAAATGATTATACCAAAGTAAAATAAACCAAAAGAAGAGGATTCGTTTTGCGTGTATTCCAATTGGTTAGAAAATTACTAGGAGACAAATAACACGAAACTTACCTTTTCCAACCAAGCAGAAAGGTACACCAACGGAGAAGGAATCGCAGGTGATTCGTGCAGCTCGTCCTTTCGTGCTGAGGACCAATGTAACACTGACAGTTTCACCGTCCCTCTCTCCTCGTCCGTTCACGCTCCCTCTCTCATTCACCCTATATCTCTCTCTCTCTTTCCAACTCTCACCAATGTGTTAGAGGAAGAGGAAAGAAGGAACGTGCAAAGAGGAAACACACAAGCCAGAGGAAGGGTTATCAACCCACACGTATAAACGCAGAAACGTAGCCAATGTTTTTGAATATAATTCTTATGATCCTTTCTATATTTTATCGTATCGTTTATTTCGTTAATATCGATGTATTCACATTTTCTTTTTTTTTTTTTTTATCGGACGAGTTCTCGCAATCAAAAAAATGAAAGCGTAAGAACAAATTCAATTCATACGGGTACTTGCGTAAATTTTTTTTTTTATCCTAAAAAGGTTTAATAATCTTATAGATTAGATCGATTATATTAAAAGTATCGTATATGTTAAATTAATTTATAATTATTTATAAATAATATTCTTGTACGTAAACATATTTATGTAAACAAGGAAGTCTCATCGATTGAATGTGCGATGTGTTGAAATGGATTAATTATCGAGAGAGAGAGAAAGAGAGAGAGAGAGAGAGAGAGAGAGAGAGAGAGAGAGAGAGAGTAAGAGGGGGAAAGAAAGAGGGAGAGGATAAGAGAGTAGATGCAATTTGCCTGGCTCGACGAGACTTAAAGTCTCGATGTGATTCACGAGGTACATAAGCTAAGCTATCCTCCCTATAAGGCTTCGTTTAGGAGTTGGTGTCTAGAAAGAGAAGGAGAAAGAGTAGTAGTATTAGTAGTAGTAGTATTAGTAATAGTAGTATTAGTAGTAGTAGTAGTAGTAGGAAGAGGAGGAGGAGGAGGAGGAGGAAGAAGAAGAGCAGAAAGAGAAGAGGGAGAGGAAGAGGAGAAGAGACTGGACGAGTTCCTCGACGAAATGATAGATAGCAAAGTCTTGGTTATCGTTTATATGTCATGCAACGAATGATCCATCGATCTTCTTAAATGTAACGGATATGATTGTGTCGGCCGATCTGTCTTATTTCTTATGACCAAAATAAAATCGTTCGATCGTTATGTACAAGGAACGAATTAACCATTTCAATCGTATAATCGATGTAAAGCATTTAAAAACATTCAGAGAGTACAATGTAATTATGGGAATTCTCGTTAACGTATTAACGATATTTTAATATATTCAAATATGATGAGTAAGGCAGAAGAACTAGTCATCAGGTGTAACCTTTAATTCTGATTCCTCGTACGTACACCTACTTTCTCGTTGCCTGGAGGCCAATATCGAGGACAATCGTAACCTTCCTTCCTGATACGTGGGTGTTTTCTATTGATGCGAAAGAGAACATATATATATATGTATAAACGGATACTGTATTGTGTATTTGATATTAATAATTTTTATTTCTTTAATTAAATTTTCAATATAATCGACGCTTTCAACATCAATCGAAAGAAGGATCTCTCGTTACAAACAAGATTATCCGAGCAGCGTTCTCGGATTCTCCTTTCGGCAATACGAGTAGGATTATTTAACTTGGTTGTATTTATATAATACATATAGTTCGTATCTTCTGACTCATAGGTGTTCTATAAAATGATATTAACGCACGTCCGGAGTTTGGTTGTTTTTCTCCTTCTTCTTTTTTTTTCCTTGTTTCTTTTTTTTTTCTTTCTTTTTTTTTCTTTTTTTATTTACGATCCACGCTCGACGTTTATTTTCTCTCAGGGGAAAACTCCCAGAGCGATATTTCCTTCCTTAGATGGATATTTCTAATTAACATCGAGCTAGCTAACGTCGTTTTCCTAGTTAGCATCGTAGTTGAAACGAGACACGGTTTTAACAGCATCGGCTGTTCTACGTTGATACACATTTTATTTGTAATATTTCGATCGGCTCGATTGAACAAAAACAAAAAAGCGCCCTTTAATTCTTAAAAATAGAGATCCAAGGGGTGGAGTTAATTAAAGATATCTCATCTCTGAGGAATCTCTGAGATATCTCATCTCTGGACGTCGGCCAAAGGCTTGAGTTCCTATGTCATTGAATCGTTAATTAATGGGCATCGAATTAATACTCTCACGATGAAACCGTGCTCGATTCAGAGTCTCTATTTAGAGAGAATCGAGTGGTAAATAAACCTTTGAGAAACTGCGTCTGGATTGCGTCGAGTTTAAAGAGGTATCGAGATGCTGCGTTCTAAGATGTCTCACGATTATAGGTGAGCTATTGTTTTCGATGAAGTCAAATACGTGTTCGCATTTAGCTTAACAACTTTTGATTTCACACTTCGTTAGACACGATGAGACATAAAAAAGTTGATTTATTCTTTTCTCGTGGGTGGTAGTGACTCTTATGACTCATTTGCCTCTTTTTGCATCTTTACATAATGAATCAAAATATACGACGCGTATTTACTTCGTCGTCGTCGTCGTCGTTGTCGTCGTCGTCGTCGTCGTCGTCGTCGTCGTCGTCGTTGATAACAACAACACGCATAGAAGAAGTTGCTGATTAAAAAAAAGTTTCAATGCTTCCTATCCTCGTAACTCGAGTAACCTGCAATTATTAATATGAAGTTTTCACGTTTATTACGTAAACTTTTTCCGCGACTTTGACTTCAGAGTCACCGACGCCTACAGCAATACGATTACGTAGGTATCTACTTGTGCTCGTTCTCTTCATTACTTTTTCTTTAATTAAGAAGAAAATCGATGATCATTGAAACATTTATTTCATTATTTTTGATCTCGGATGATAAAGATATTTATTTAATTATTTCTAATAATACGGTATATACGGAACGTTAGATTAATTTACTGTCGATTTTCTTTAATACGTTTTTCTTATGAGAATTAGAAATTTATTAATTGAGCTTATTTTCTACCTGACAATTAGCCGATTGACATTTTACAAACGAGTGAGTTAGCTTCAGAAATATTTTCAAATGTACATATATATATATATATATATATATATATATATATATATATATATGTATATATATATATTCATGATGTCATGAACAGTTTCAACTTTAACAAAGAATCGATTGTTCTTAACTCTTGAAACTTTTATTTCTTTTTACGTGATTAAACAAAGATTATATAATACGAAATTTATGCCGATGTAATTACACTGTACTAAATGTAAAACTTATGCTTAGTAAACATTAACTTTTGGTTATAAATTAATAATCATTTTCTTGACGATGAAAATTAAATAAAATAGGTATACGAGCGTGTAACTACGAAGTTACATGATAAAGTTTTAGTCAGTTAATTTAGTTTTATATTACATTTTCTTTAATCATTGAAGTTCTGTATGGCATTTTTATTTTTCCAAACTTCGAGAAGACATTAACGAAACTCTCTCCTCTCTCTCTCTCTCTCTCTCTCTCTCTCTTTCTCTCTATCTCTATACACATAGACGCACAGACACAGCAATGAATTATTTCGTTGACCTGTTGCTCTACATTCTCGGAACTTCCAATAATTCGAATTATATATTTTCTTTTCACAAAGTGCTTCCAGCAAAATTCTTTGAATTCCTGTTGGAATAGATGATTTACTCACACGAACGACATCAGCTTATCCTATTTTTAACGTTTTCATCTTACGAAAAAGCAATTTTCAAAGTCACGTCGCCCGTTATTCGATCTCTAACCGAACGAAGTCATGGCACGAAGTACCGAAGCCTTTGTGGATTCGACCATGTCGGAGGATCGGCTCTGGTTCAATTGACAATTGGGATTGCAGAAATGAGGTCATCTGCGACATATTGCAGACTGACAGAATACCTAATTTCATTGTAATTATGATAACCAGTTATACCGTATCATCAGAGACAGTTACGATGCTCAAATGAATTAGAATCGTGCAAATGAATTGATGATAATATATATATATATATATATATATATATATATATATATATATATCTTCGTTTCAAAATCAAAAAATATTTTTTATTTTTCCATTTCTTTATTCATCTTCTTCTCTTAATTAATACTTCTACCAATGAAATAATATTTTCTTGTCTTTTTTTCTTTTTCTTCCTTACAAATGTTTATTTTTACTGTTTTGTGTAAATGTTTATGTTTATGTTTATGTTTATGTTTATTTGTAAAGCGGTTGAATACGAACGATGTTCAAAGTCGATATGGCAGAATCGAGTTTAGAATTATTCGCGTCGCCAATGAATTTTTTGATTTTCCCACAGATGGCGGTAGTCGATGATGTCTGACTAAACGCGGTTCTATTCTCCTTACGTAGTAGAACAAAACGTTGATTTGTACGAAGATATTTCTTTATGTTAGCTATTAAAAAGTATTTCATTCATCTATTACATTTATCGGATTATAGCGTTATCGTATGTCTTCATTCTTCGAGATAAAACTTGATATTTGTTGAAAAGTTTTGTGTTCGTTTTAATAAGGATAATTCGTTTGACTAACTGGAATATTCAAAGTTCTGTAGAAACAATGATTTTCCCATTATAATTAAGAAGTTTAATTCGTGTAAATAAACTTTTTGAGAAGTAATTTCGACGAAAGGAACGGCGAATGTCAGTTTGCAAATAAAAAAAGACTAGTAATAAAGAGAAAATTGGAAAGAAATGATGAAAATGATATTGGAAGCTGACTTTACTCGGGTAGCAAAAGTCTTATTTATTAATATCTTCGTATCGATCTTGTACGTGATTATTGAAAGGGACTGGGAATTAGAGTTTCTCCCGTAACGTAGAACGACATTTATCTTCGAATCGAAATTAATAAGTTTCTTGATTGGTACGAATGGTATATATATATATATATATATATTTAATGTAAATATATATATATTTAATGTAAATATATATATGTATATGTATATACGCGTACATATAAAACGAGTTTTCGTAAGTTGAATGAGAATTTATTCGTAAGCTTTACATTGTTTTACGGTTTTTGAAGTACTCGTTAATTCGCGAAAACCTCCTAGTAGAATTTTTATTATTTCTGTGTGTGTGTTTTTTTTTTTTTTTTATTCTCTCTCTCTCTCTTTTTTTTCATTTTCACGTAGAAATGTTAAGCGCGTAACCGTGAAAAACGCAAGGTAGATCCTTTGTACCGAGGATATTTCGTTTGATCGCATCCTTTCTTCCTATGCGCTGGAATCGGTCCCGCTGTGATGGAGAGCTTTGCAACGTTAACGCTTCTCTGCATTGCACCTGTTTCGAAGCCGATCTGTAGCAAAGCTCGTCGATGGTGAACAATGTGCCGACCGTCGAGTTTTTTTTTGAATTCGATACGT